ACAACGATGTCGAACACGACAATCCAAGCGAAGGGTTAACATGAACATGGGAGGCCTTCCCGACTGCGATGATTTGGTTCGTGCGATCAAGGAATACGGACGAAAAGCAGTTACCTTACAAAAGTTTCCTCGTCCCGTCGACTACCATCCGACGATCACATTCACATCGAAAGATATGCATGGGCTACACACCCTGCACAACGACCCGCTGGTCGTCGAACTTCATATCCATGATAGCAAAGTGGCCAAAATACGGGTGGACACCGGGAGCACGGTCAATACCATCTTCAAAGATACCTTGACCAAGATGGGACTCCAGGATAAAGACATCAAGGCAGCACCAAAGCCACTAACTGGCTTTGCCAGCGAGTCCTTCTTCAGCCTCGGCACCATACGGCTGACATTTTAAGTCGGCAGAGTGACGTAGATTGTCAAATTCACTGTCATGGATAAACCAGCAATCTATAATGTCATCCTTGGTATGCCTTGGATCGACGAGATGAAAGCCATCGTGTCAACCTATCATCAATGCATAAAGTTTGCTACCTCAGTTGGCATCTTCACACTTTGCGGCAATCATCAGATGGCGAGATCCTGCTTCATCAACTAACGCAAAGTACGACTCACCGCGGCAAAAGCCCTCGAAGACACAAAATAAGCAGAATAGATTCGGCAAGAATCTCATAAGTTTTTATATTTAATTTTTTTTAGCTCCAATAAGGACCGGCTTGGCTCCTAAGTGATAACACTCAATTATAGAGAACTACGAACGGCTTGATCCCAAATTGGGTACGTAGGTAACCTACGGGTGCAGCTGTAAATCTAATAAATTTTAATTATCTTGGAAAATCAGCTCGGCACGTAGAGCAGTCTTCCTTATGCGAATGCATCTTCCTGAGTCAATGTTCTAGCCAAACGTTTGACTCAAAAAGCAAAAACTAAATTATGTGGCTGATCACCACTCCTTTGAAACTTCGATTCAATTTAAGTACTTCCAAAGTGGATGAGATGAAAGCCGAGGACAATTTTCGCACGATCCTTGATCACACCTTTCAAGCTGAAGTGAATCGTGAAAGCTTGGTGTTCGATCCTGTTGTCGTTTGGTATAAGACGGGCAAATGAATCATGCTCCTAACACCGGATTTAAAATTTCAATCGCATTACCTATTACTAAATATACTCCGAATAAAAGATTCACAACAAATTCGCTTATATCTGAAAGAATGATTTGACTCGAGTAAAATTATTGTTAAATTAAAACTTTTCAGGCGATGTCATTACAAAACGGCAGACCAAAGAAAAAAAAAGGGGGAAAGGGAGCTCATCCTGACGCCGTGCTACCTTCTTGCGCCTGCCTTAGCATCTCGTCGACATCAGGTCGGCTTGGAAGGCTGAGATCCTCATCAGTGATAACTATCTCTTCGATAGTATCACTGATAGCTTGCAACTTCGCAAATTCACTCTCGAAAGCTGGAAGTGTTCCGGCAGGGAGTTCCCATCCCTTGTCCTGCATCCTCTACAGGTACGCTACCATAGCGCTATTCTTTTCTACGCCGACCAAGGCAGCTTCAATATCTTCTCGCTGGGAAAGCAACGCTTGAACCCGCTCTATTCGCGGCTTAAACCATAAGACCATGCCGTCAAAAACTTTATTGGTGATGCCACAAGAATTCTCATCACGAGATCGTTAAAGCTCCACCTTCTCGGCGAGGAATTTCCACCTGTCCTCCTTATTGCGCTTCTCGAGGACTTCATTCTGTGTTTGAAGAGCCGCAATCTGCTTGCGAAGCCAAGACGTCTCCGCTATCTACACTTTAAAAACATTGACTGTACCCTTCAAGCGAGAGCACTTTTCTTTGAGAAGCCGATTCTCCTCTTCAATTTTTGGAAGCTCTTCAAGCTTGGCACAAGTGACATCTAGCATCATCTCCTCTTGACAATAATCCTTGTCATACATCGCGAATGCAGACATATACGCTCCCAAACCCTGCACCACGACTTACTATTTGAAGCACGCAACAAAGCAAAGCAGAAATACAATGGCATCGAAGAAAATACCTGAGCAATCAGATTATTAGCCGAGGATATCGGCTCCGCCTGTTTCAGCTCCCGCAGAGGCTTGCCCTACCTTGGGTTCTTTCTGCACTTCCAAATCAGCTTCGCGGCAAACTCACAATCAAGCACTGCCGAAGTGACACCATCCCACTTTAAGCTAAAGTGGTGGGGATTATATTCAAAGGACTTCTCCTCCTGCTTGGGCTCAGCAGAAGCACTTGGACCGACATCCTCGGCATCGCATCGGGTAGCATCCTCAGCACCTGGAACACCGGCATCTTGCGGGGAATCAGACCCCTCAGGCGGAGAAGTAGCCTTTCGATGAGCCATCTCGGCATTGTCGCCTTCACCCCAGGGATCAGCTTCTTGAACTGACTCGTTCAGCGAGGTCCTGGCAGCCATCTCAGCATTGGCTTGCTTCAGCCCCTCTTCAGCTCGGGCTCGTTTCAGTCTCTCCCGCGCTGCAGCCCTAGAAAAGCTAGGAGAAATGACAAAACGTCAGAGAATCACATCAATTCACTAAACCAAAAAAAAAACACAAACCAAGGGTAAAGCTTTACCTCGCAACTTCACTCACAAAGCCTTCGCTTTCTGAAGCCAGCTCAACTTTGCCAGAGTCCACCTGAATAGGCGCAACTCGAAGAGCCGTCCTCCTCCTCTTCGAAGGGGTACTTGCCAGAGTCCACCTAAATAGGCGCAACTCGAGGAGCCGTCCACCCTTCTCCTCTTGGCACTAACCCCTTCAGGTCTCGGCTGTGCCGCCTTTTTAACAGCTGAAATATTAAAATATGCAGCAGTGAGATACCTCGCTTAAAAAGCACACATAAAGTTACTTCGGTCTAGCAACGCACCTGCTTTCGAGGACATGGATTTCTTCTCGGCTGGCTTTGCCGACTTCGTCTTCTTTTCAGAAGGACCCTTCTTCTCTTTCTCGGGCCACAGTTCCTGGCTCAGGTTGCGCAGCTTTTGGACGTCAACATCAAGGCCAGACGGATCCTTCCCAAGGCTGATTTGCACTGATAAGGGGAAAAGCAAACATATTTAAATCTCGAAATTAGCCAATAAAAATAAGAAGAAGCAAAAAATAAACAGTGAGGTTCAGTTCGGCTTACAAGGCTTCGACCTCCAAGACCTGAATAAATCAAGTTCGGAGCTGCCGGTGGCCGCTTTGTTAATCTTCACATAAAAGAAGAAGTGGTCCCACTCGTTGACTTTGCTCGTCGGATCTCCACCAGAGATTCCGTGCTTCAGAGTCTTATAAAAGTGGCGCCATACCCCGTGATTCAGCCTTCCGCTCTTTAGGATCCAGACTCTTTCAAAAATATCCCAGTTAAAGGGCACCATCGACATCGAGCAACTGCTGCTAAACTATTGAAATGGCGGATTACGGCGTGAGAAAGCTGCGCCATCGGCATCTTCCTCCGTTAACAGTAACGGAGAAGTAATGAGATAGGCAATTAAAGGCCAAAGTCCACGAAATGGCATTCGTAAATGCAGAAATAACCATCCAGCGGCGTCGTTACTCTCTCATGAACTTGAGGAAGCAAAAGCTCGACCTCTTCAGGAAAGCAGCATTTTGACCGAAGCTCCTGAAGCCTTTCCGCGGTCATCCAGGTCCTCCCGTCTTTGATACCGCTTCTGTGCTTCGACATCGCTATCTTTCGCGGAAGACCTTCTACCCGGCTCACTGGCTCAGAACCCTCCGATTTCATTTTGGAATCTATATCGGGGTTATCCGGCAAGATCTCATCTCGGTAGCCTGAAGAACTTCCGGAATCCGAAGAAGAGGGAATGGGACTAACCCAGGCTCGCCGTGCGCGTTCGGCGAGAGAAATCTCATCGTCGTCGAAAGAAGAACTATGTGATAAAATCGACATCCTTCAAAAGAAGAAATTTCCGGACAAATCGCAGAAGAAGAAGGAGGATCGGCGAGAAAAGGAGATTGCAGCAAAGAAATGATTTTGCAAAGCAAATTCGAAGAGAGTAAAATTTTTGAAACAAGAAGAAGAAAAGATAAATACTCAATAATAAAATCAGAAGAAATATCAACAGTTTCCTAAAAGGACGTATGTCAAGATTCGCACAATATCACCGTCTGATAAACCTTTCGCTTTTCCTGCTTGAAGAAACCCCTAATGGGTCGAATATTTAATAAATTTATTAAAGGAAGGGCCATGCATTAAATCCACTCAGAAAACGGGCTGAGCTGGCCATCACGAAGAAACGCTCTTGACAAGCTGACGCTGCGAGATTAAACCCACTCAACTTCATGAAGTTCACCGATCTGATTTACAATCAGTCTCGCCGAACTGAGGGGGGGGGGGGGGGGGACTTTACTTCAAATACTTTCTTTCAGTTCAGCATAACCTCTTGATTATATCAACCCTTATAATCGCTGCGCTTTGAGCTATTAATAAAAATTCTATTCTCCAAAACCCACAACTGTTAATTAAAATCATACTGGTAATTTTCTGGTTCAACATACACAATTTTTCTATATTTCATTTCGAATAATTATCTGGAATTTTGTTATTTTGCATGGGTCCAAATATATTGAGTTAGTCGGTATTTAAACCATTTACTTCACGTACTGCAATTTAAAAGTATGAAAACTTTGGTCCCATCTCTCTGATCAGCAAATCAGATCCAAATTTGAAGAATTATATAACATAGAAGGATTTTTATTTGTTAACACTCAATCGCAAAAAAAGGGATACAATAATTACCAGTACACCGTCATCAATTAAAGAATATGTACTAACTTATCACAAAACCAAAGGATTTTAGCAAACCATTAATTTTGCAAATAAAGATGGATTATGAATATAAGTTTTAAACTCTAGCTAACCAAACCTGATCGATTTCCATATTATTTTGTTTTTCTATTTCATAAACAAACAGTCCACAACTATGAAAACTTGTATTTTTTATTTTTTTTTGTTGTTGTAACTTTTAACTAAAATGTCACCGCAAATTTTATTTTATTTTTCTCTTTGGGGCCAACCACCACAAAACCTTTCGTAGGACGAAACCCTCACCCCGAAAACATGTACACGTATCACAAAAAAGTTGGTCTATATTATCATGTACTATATATATGGTAAGCATCTAATCAACAACTTCACTACTAAACAACTTGAACTTATTAGCATCAAGAACAAGTTTCCTAACAGAGGAGAAAGCTCCCATGAGTCCCGCGCAAGTGAAGACAACCATTATCGTCATGTTTATCCAATACGTGAAGCTCCGTTTCGTGGGCTTATAGGTCATGTTGTATAGAAGCATTGGCAGCACGAAATCGAGTGGGATAAACCCAAACGCTCCTACCACCGCGTTTATATCCCCGAAGAAGGGTAGCATCGCTGCCATGAACCCACAAAACACCGTGTACAGCGTTCTTAGTATCAAACGCGGCACCAGGTTTCGTCTTGAGAATATCCCTTTTGTTGTATCCGCCGATTGCTTCTCCATCATCTCATACGCAACTTGAGAATACACCTAACACACAAAAAGCAAACAAAAAACATATCTTATTGAAGATAACTTGGTATGCAAGATGTGTTAACGTTCTCTCCAAGTAACCTTGGATACAGGCACTAGTTTAACTTACGAGGCCAATGGCGAAAAGCTGAAGAAGAACAAAGATGACCGCAAGGCCAATGACCACTATAGGAGCCAGAGTTGGTCCTTCGTCAGGCATTAGGTTCTTGAGGATATTAGAGCTCGAATCTCTACCAAATACCCAATACCCCGAAACTGCAGCCGAGTAAAACGTGAAGAAGATGACACTATAACACAACATTAGTCCTTTCAACATCTTCCCTGTGGCTGGTGGAGCAAGAGTTGCCTACATTATATTTATCCCATAAATCTCAAGCTCATAATAATATATAATTTTTGAATGGTTAAATTTCTGACATATTTTCACCTGTATTTCAGGCAAAATTCCGTTTCCGAAGATAGCAGCTATGATCGAAATCGATGTGAACGCACTAAAAACTCTCCCTGAATCCGAAGCCTCTAGAGAGTAGTCACGTTTAGGAGCGTTTTTAGACAAACCTGCGGAACCAAAAACAAAGCAATTAGTTTCAATGTTTAACCTTAACAGAGTTCGTTGTTTCGCAGATATCAATGTAAATGATCATCGTACCTAGGTTGATACAAGCCCCAACAACGAGGAAAGTGTAGCCTAAGCTGAGAAGGAGAGACACAAAGTTAATGTGCCTAAGTGAGTGAAAGCTTGGGAGCTGTGACAGAACAATCATCACAGCTGTCACCATAGCAATGAACTCGTAGAGCTTCAAGGTTCCTTGTGGGAAAAGACTCGAGTACATTATCTGTATAGAAAACAAAAAACAGAGGAAGAATATGATTTACTTAAACATATGTTCCGTACAGATCGTAATGCCTTGTTTTGCAAGTAATTAGGGTTTACATCAAGGCATTGGCCTGCGAGTAGAATGGCGCCAATACCGATTCCAGTGTTGATAGCTGTTTGAATGAAGATCACTACGTAAAACATCCATCCTGATCCTGCACCACATTACAATTACCGGTTCAAAACCACTCAATTTGACCGGTATAACCGAGCCAATCAGCAACAATACAGAAAAACTAAAATTGCTTCTACAAGCAACCCAATCCAAACCAAAATTCATTCAGTTTTTTTTATATCTAATTGCAGACAGATGGAAATAACCGAAACAAAATATGCAATTGGACCAAACATCAAAAAATTACATTTTTGCTCAACTTTAAGAATCCATATATATAATACCTATCTTTGACCAAATCCAACTACAGATTTTTCTCTGAAACCGAAACCAAAAAGTCTTTGATTCATTCAATTCGATAAGAATGATCTGAACCCAAAACCGGTTAGAAACCACTCAACAAAAACCGAAAATCAAATTTGCTGCAATTGGACCAAACCTCACAAAATCACATTTTTGCTCAACTTTAAAATCCATTTTTATAATACCCTGACACCTATATTTGACCAAATCCAACTACAAATTTTTCTCTGAAACTCAAACCAAAAAGTCTTTGGTTCCTCCAATTCGTTAAGAATGATCTGAGCCCAAGAACCGGATAAACCAAACTTTCTAACCTAAACCGATCTATATAAGCTGAAGAAATCATACCCGAAACCGGTTCTTAAAAAATTCGGTGACCATCACTTCAACAGTACCAAAACCGAAACCAGGTTGAGCACGTGTGCGATCAGAATCTAACGGACGAATAAAGGTCAAAGTATCTACACTAAACTCGATCCAGCGTTTTCGGATTTATCCAAAAAAAGGAAAACCAAAAAAAAAAAAAGAGAAAGCGATCGCAGAAATTTAATTCTGAGGATTTTTTTTTATTTTATACCGAGAACGTCGGCAGCGAGTTCCCGGAATCGGATGTGACGGCGGCCGGATTTTTCACAGTGATCGAGAACCTTGGACATGAGGAAGTAAGCGTAGAAAGTGACGAGTCCCATCGTCGTCAAGCACACAAACCCTAACCACCATCCCAATCCCCTGAAAGCGTACGGTAATGTCAATATCGTCGGTCCGACAATCGCCGTCGTCAGATGAAAGCCGGCGTGCCACCATTCGCCTAGAAGAATCTCAGAAATATTAAATCAATTTTTAATTTTGGGGGAAAAATCCAAAATCGGATGTTCAACTATATATAGTTTGATGAGGAGGAGTTTTAATTAGATTACAGTTATATACTGTTACCTTTTGCTTGGAGGACGAAGAGAGCTCCGGCGTCGGAATCGAGTCGGGTAGAGGGATATAGGTCGGATCTTGGAGGAGCCGTCATTGATGATGGCTTTCGACGAAAGAGAAGATTATGGAATTAAAAAAGTGATTCGTGGAGATGATGATGAAGAAGAGGAAGGAGGAGGTGGTGCATGTTAGCTGGTGGTAGTTTATAGCTGCTAACATGTTATTTCGTTGGTTTCAACAACCTGTCACTGTGGGGAAAGAAGTCATAATTTGCATTTCCCCCCTTTATTCGGGCTGTGATCATAAAAGGATACTTATCTTTTCTATAAAAAAAAACTTAATTTTCTTAAAGAAAGAAATAGAGTTTAATTTATTTTTTAGTTATGGATTACTGCTAACATCACCCGAGTGACTAAATACTGTTAACCAACACACAAGAAAACCAAAATTAAGAAGAGAAGAAGTAATTGCGATATTAAAGATATAAAAGAGCAAAAGTATGATTTCACATTAGAGATACAAGTATGATACAACGACTTGTGATGGGAAAAGAGATATATTTGTTTTTTTCGTTTATACTACTGACATACAAAAAGAAAGGCTATATGTGCTTACTTACATGATCTATAAGATGTGTATGAAAACGTAACGTCACGTCACATATTCGCAAGTTGCATGCGTTTTAATTGTGAGTCAATTAGCTTTTTCTACATATCATGCGTATCATTTAGCTTTTATTAGCAGTTTAACGTCTCCAATATTGTATTAATTTGTATTAGGCTCAATCCATCCTACCCGTATCCGATTTGATTCCAACGGATAAAAATTTAAATATTGGGTAGATTATTCGTGATATCCGAATGATTCATTTTGAGCAGTTATTTTTTTTTTTATAATTATCTAAATATATTTATATTAAGCGATGTGTATGATATATTTTCCAAAATGATACATATATGATATATGACAAATACCATACAACCAAAAATACTATACCGACAACATTAATCGTTCTATACATTCCCACCCTTCAAAAACAATATCACAAAGTTCATTTATTTCCACCACCAAACCTTTGCCCACAAATAAACCAATTTGACTTAAAAACAACAACACAAACAAAAATGCAACAAAATTGCACCAACACAAAATACACATTAAGTACCCGACAGCTTCTTGATATACCAAAACCCAACCACAGATATATATTGCTTGCATTGATGTGTGAGGTGGGGAATAAAAGCAAGCGTACCGTACTGTATCCGAGTCTTACGCTCGCTGCGACTGTCTTTGGCCTCGAGCCACAACAGTCTTTGACAAAACCTCCTCAAGATATTCACAACGACCTCTGTGGTGATCGATCCACACACATAATTGCCTTATCGCTTCCCTTTTTTCTTCTCCAAGTCCCATCAAAGACTCATTCATTGTCTCCTTCTCCTTTTCACCTTCTCTTACTTTCTCTCCAAGCTTCTTTATTTCCTCCTCTTTCTTCTCCATCTCTTTCTCCATCTTCTCCTTCTCGTGGTTCCTCTCTATAATCCAATTCGTCGCAGTCCACAGTATTTTCGAAGCCTCCATTACCGTTTTCTCATACTTTCCCTGTTTCTCCGTGAGTTTTTCCGACATTGATTGAAACCCATCTACTGTTTTGTTCACTTTCTCTGCTATCTCCTTTATCATACCTCGATAAGTCTCGTGTGTCACTGTGAGACTTCTCTCAAGCAACGCTTGCTCCTCTAAGTGCTTAGCTTCTTCTCTCTTGAAAGCTTCTTCTTTCTCCGTTAGTACCTGTTCGGTCACCCTCAGTTTCTGGTTCGACAAACGTAGCTTAACCTCGATGTTACTGATCTTCTCCATGAGAGTTTCTATCTCCTCTCCTTTCATTTCCAGCTCGTTACGTAAACTCTCCATCGTCTCTTCCTGACCTGCGATTGCAGAATCTCTAGATGTTACTTCATTACCTGTCTCCTCCAGCAATCTCTGGGCTTCTTTGTGATCATCTGTTAGCTTATTGAGTGCTTCATCACGCTCTTTGAACAGTTGGTTAATCTGTTTGTGTTCCTCTCCCAGCGTATTGTAAGCTGCTTCTTGCTCTATCAATGCCCTTTTGACATCGATGATCTGATTCGACAATTCTGATTTCTCTTGCTTCTCTCTATCAAGCTCTGCTTCGGTTTCGCTCTTCTTGACCTGTAGAGAATCAAGCTCCTGCTGCAGATTGTTAATCTGTTCTGTCAAGGCTATTGTTTCAGTAGACGCTTGGTTGATCTTATCGCGCATTTGAACGTTCTCTTCTGTTTTCGTTCTCAGCTCCTCGTCGAGCTCACTTCTCTGTTTCTGTAGAGTCTCTATCTCAACTTCAAGACCCTTTATTTTCTCAGATAAGCCATTTCTTTCTTCTACAATATTCTCGTGATCTTTGACCTTGTTTGTGATCTCCTCTTTTAGATCTGTAATCTGACTCGTATATTCAGAGATCTCCTCGGACTTCTTCTCAAGTTGGATTTCAAGTTCTGCTTTCTGGCTCTCAAGTGAGACCACTTGCTGGCTCAGACCATTGATCTCATCTGCCAAACCCTTAATCTCCATCGAAGCTTCATCGCCTTTGCTCACCAGTAGTTTCTCCAACTCTTCCTTTTGAGCAGACATTGCATCTAGTCCTGCTCGTAGGTCATCGACCTCAGCTGTCAAACTCTCAGTTGTGGACGATGATTGCTTCTCCTTATCCTCGAGTTCTTGGGTTAAAGCAGAGAGTTCAGTTCCTCTCTCTTCCATTGTCTTCTCAAGTTCCGAGATTCTAGCAACCATTTCTCTGTTTTCCGCTTCCAGTTGCTCAATTTCAGTGGTCTTGCCTGCAATCTCTGTCTCAAGATCTATTGTACGGGCACGAAGTGACTCTAGTTCTAGCTCAAGGGTCGTTACTGTTGCTTCTAGTTCTTTTATTTGCACCTGTGATTTGCTTTCCTTCTCTGTCAGATGTAAAAGTTCTCCTTCTTTCTCAGCGAGCTGCTCCTTCAGATTGCTTGACTCAGCTGTGAGTTCCTGTAACATGATCTGTACCTTTTCGAGCTCGCCTGAAGTTTCTGATATTTTAGTGGACATGGTTTTGTTTTCTTCCTCTGCGATCTTCAGACTTTCGCTCAAATCAGAAACCCGCTGTTCAGATGACTTCAGCTGCGCTTCTAAATCACTTAGAAGAGTGGATGATTCTCTCTGATGAGTCTCATGGATATCCCTCAAACTGAAAATTTCCTTGTCTTTCTCAGTGTGGCTCTCTTTTAGCTGTCCAGACTCAGACAGGAGTTCCTGTATGGTGTTCTCTGCCTGCTTGATCTCATTCGCCATTTCTGAAATTTGCTGAGATAACAATTTCTTCTTTTCCTCTGCACTGTTCAGGCTCTCGTTCAAATCTTTAACTCGTTGCTCTGCTGATTCAACCAGCGCTTCTAATTCTTTCACCTGACTCGATGAATCTCTCTTATGAGCCTCGTGTACCTCCACCAAACTTGAAAGCTCACTCTCTTTTTGTATGCGTGTATCTTTCGACTCTGCCAGTTCAGCCATTAGTTCTTGGACCGTGTTCTGCGCCTGTTTGAGCTCGTCCGTAGTTTCCAAGATCTTCGAGGACATGGACTTGCTTTCTTCCTCTGCAGCAGTCAGACTCGCACTCAAATCTGAGACCCGCTGTTCAGATGATTTCAGTTGAGCTTCTAACTCACTCGTACGAGTGGATGATTCTCTCTGATGAGTCTCGTGGATGTCCCTCAAACCAGAAAATTCTCTGTCTTTCACACTGTGGCTCTCTTTCAACTGTTCAGACTCAGACACGAGTTCTTGTATGGTGTTTTGAGCCTCTTGAATCTCGTTTGAGATCTCTGAGATTTTCTGAGATAACAGCTTTTTCTCTTCCTCTGCATTTTTCAGGCTTTCGTTCAAATCTGCAACCAATTGCCCTGATGATTCCACTTGCGCTTCTAACTCTTTCACATGACTCGCTGAATCTCTTACATGGGTCTCATGTAACTCCACCAAACTAGAATGCTCAGTCTCCTTTTCCTGGTATCTTTCTTTCATCTCTCCCAATTCGGTGATGAGTTCTTGTATGGTGTTCTGTGCCTGTTCGAGCTTGTCTGTAGTTTCCAAAATTTTCGAGGAAATAGCTTTGTTTTCTTCCTCTGCAGCCTTCAGATTCACACTCACATCTGAGACGCGCTGTTCTGATGATTCTAGTAGAGCTTCTAATTCACTCACTCGGGTGGATGATTCTCTTTGATGAGTCTCGTGGATGTCCCTCAAACCAGAAAGTTCTCTCTCTTTCTCACCGTGGCTCTCTTTCAACTTTCCAGACTCAGACATGAGTTTTTGTATGGTGTTTTGTGCCTCTTGAATCTCGGTAGAGATTTCTGAAATTCTCTGAGAGAGCAGTTTTTTCTCTTCCTCTGCACTGTTCAAACTCTGTTTCATTTCTGCAACCTGTTGCTCTGCGGATTCCACAACTTCTACTAATTCTTTCACTCGACTTGTTGAATCTCTCTGATGTGCTTCGTGTACTTCTACCAAATTAGAGAGCTCACTCTCTTTCTCTTTGTGTCGGTCTTTTAGCTCCTCCAATTCAGCCATGAGTTCATGTATTGTGTTCTGCGCCTGTTCGAGCTTGTCCAGAGTTTCCACATTTTTAGAGGAGATAGCTTTGTTTTCTTCCTCTGCAACATTCAGACTCACACTCAAATCTGAGACCCGCTTTTCTGAGGATTCCAGTTGAGCTTCTAGTTCACTCGTTCGAGTGGATGATTCTCTCTGATGAGTCTCGTGGATGTCCCTCAAACCCAAAAATTCTCTTTCTTTCACACTGTGGCTCTCTTTCAACTGTCCACAGTCAGACATGAGTTCTTGTATGGTGTTCTGCGCCTGTTGGATCTCGTTAGAGAGCAGTTTTTTCTCTTCCTCTGCAGTATTCAGGCTTTGGTTCAAATCTGCAACCAATTTTCCTGATGATTCTACTTGTGCTTCTAATTCTTTCGCACGACTCGATGATTCTTTCTCATGGGTCTCATGCAACTCCACCAGGTTAGAATGCTCACTCTCTTTTTCCTTGTATTTTTCTTTCATCTCTCCTAATTCGGAAATGACTTCTTGCATGCTGTTCTGTGCCTGTTGAATCTCACCTGAAATCTCCGAAACTTTCAAGGATAGAGACTTGTTCTCTTCCTCTGCACTCTTCATACCATGCGTCAGATCCAGAACTCGCTGCTCTGATGTTTCTAGCTGCTGCTTGAAATTAGCAGCTTCATCTTTGAGCTGATCACTCGCTGTTTTCCAATCTTCTGCAAGCTTTTCAGCTTCTTCAAACCTTTTGATACCATCGTCTCTCTCAGTTTGCAGTAGATCTCTCTCTTTTTTCATATCTTCCAACTTCTGGCTCAGATCAATCTCTGTTTTGCCAGCAACTTCTAGTTTCTGATGTAGATCACTCAGAGCTGTTGTCTTTTCTCCCTCTAACTTCTCCGTTTCAAGTTTCAAATTGTCGATGATATCTTCTGATTCTTTTAACTTTATCAAAGCTACTTCAAGCTCAGAATCTACTGCGCCTTTTTCTTCAACACTCGTCGTCAACTTCCTTTTCAGATCAGCAATTTCAAGATTGGCAGCTTCGATTTGTTGCTTCAAGCCACCTGTGACCGAGTCTACATCTTTCTCTACTTTTCCATTTCGCTTGGTCATCCTCTTTGAAGAATGGTCAGAATCCGAGTCTGAGCTCGAGGAAGAAGAGCTTTCTCCTTTCCCGTGGACCTTTTTCCTAATCTCACCAGTTAGATCATCGTACTGGCGATATAGAGACTGGTACTCGCTGTAGAATTCATTCACTAACTCAGAAACCACTTGTCTTTTAGATTTATCTTCGTCAATGTCTCCGCTCTCAACCATTCCCAAGATTTTCTTCACCTTTTCATCAATCTCTGCAACAGATGGTGAGAAAACTTTTCATGTAAGCAGTTATAAACCAAGAGCTATGGATTTCATTGGACACATGTGAAACAAAATTTAGGAAGGAGTGTAGGAAAATTACCAGTTTTTGTTCCTTTAAGCATTTCACCTTTCTCATGGTCAAAATGAGGCTCAAAGAAAGACTTCAGAGTCTCTCTAAACCGATGCTTCTTCATATCTTTTCTCTTTCTCCGATTACTTCTTCAACCAAATATCATCTATCAAGGCAACTTAACAATATTCATCTGTGAACCTCCATCAAACACGATCTGTCTTGGCACAACACACAGAGAAAACATATCAGAAGAAACGTCAGAGTAGCAAAACTAACTTGTCCACATTAAATGCCATTATTTAATTCGAAAAGAGGTACCATCCTTTTCACATTCATGCTCGTAAATATAATAATAACAAATTAGTACACTAATACTAACAATTTGGCTTTTAAATAATCCAGATCATAGGTTAGCATCATTGTTTTCAACAGACAGAGAATATAATAATAGAAGTAGATCCTGCAATTGAACTCTGACAAGGTATACAGACAATAATAGAATTTGTGGGCCCCCGCAAAAGAACATAGATAGATCAAAGATCCAAAGCATTTGCATCATTGAGTTACTGTAAATTTATCACTTGGTAAGAAGTGTAGTCAAATTTATTTGCTTACAGAGAGAAGTTACAAAAATATGAATACATTTTAATAAGAAGTTAACAATTTTGATTAACGCTAATCCGTTTTAGTGACGGGTCAAAAATTCGTAATCTCATGTTATTGGCTAGACAAAAAATCTCACGTGGAGCCACCTCAGCAAAATTGGAAATGCACCAGAAAGCACATACCTCTAGAACGATAAAAGACAGCTATCATATTCATAGCTCAGAAAATATGAGTTGTTACTTTTTGTTCTTATGTTACCTTTCACAAACAAATAAATAATACAGTTTCCAACTAAAACAATCTCGATCCGATCATCCCATATGTACTAAAATTAGCATTTTTTTTAGAAAAGAAACTTACAACTAGTTAAAGGAGGAGTTTCTTGTTTCTCTTACCCTTTATCTCAAACTTCCTTTGAGCTCCACGGAAGATCCAGAATCGAGTCAATGGGTTTTTGCCTGTATGGATAAGAGAAAAAAAGATTCATGAATGAAACCGATAATTCTAATTTAACTATGGAAAAAGAATTGTCGAAATAAGCTCTGAGGATTCAGAGCAGTTGATGGAAGCTTAATGAAAATTTGAAGACGAATTAACGCAACAATTTCTGAACGGAAGGGATCAATAGAAAAAAATCGGGTCACAGAATCTCCAAAACCTCGAAGACGAACAAACAAACATGGAAATGGAAGCTCATGACCTTAATTTACCTTATAAACCCTATCACTACTTTATTGAGAAATCGGAACCAAATCAACGATTATCGAATCCATTAACTGCAAATACTAGCGAGACAGTAAACGATTTGAAAAAAAATAAAAAATAAAATCAGGGGAGCTAGATGAATTAGAGAAGCATGAACTCGTAACTTTCCCAGTATTAATATCCTAAATCAATGAAACATCCGACGTTCTGTTCATGATCCATTGATCAAACACTTTGCAACCATGGCGTAAACTATAACCGATCGAAGAATCAGGCGACCTAAAGTACTTCTCAAATCAATAATCTAACCATGCGGAGAAATCGAAGCAACATAATCATTTCTAACACTAGAATTTTACCTGGATACGGAAGCTCCGGAGATTCGAGAACGAGGAGCTTCTACGGAGGAAAAAAAAAAACCAAAAAGATGTAAAGAGAAACTCTCTCTCGCCGTCTCTATCTCTGTGTTTTCAAAGATGATAGGATTACGAAATTGAAATCGAAGCGAGGGAGAGACAGGGATTGAAGAAGAAAAAAAAGTGATTTGGTTTGGACTTATTGGGAGAGAAAGAGAACAGTTATGAGCAGAAATTTGTTTTTTTCTTTCAATTTTCTATGGAGACGAATGAGAATCTTTTGGAAAATCGTCTTCCACAAACGCGCCTCTCTTTATGGGATTATTACGCTTATGCCATCAAACGCTATTTCTTTGCTCTTCAAATTTCTCGTCAAGCGGTCAAAATATATTATCATTTCACTGCTGTTGTGTTAATCATGTAATGATTATTACGCTTTTGCCATTGATATATTTATTTTTGCTGATTTGTTTTTGTGTGGCATGTCTAGTGCCGTAATGAATTGGCGGGTTTCCCGCCTTTACTTTTGAGTCGTTTGGGAAAGAAATATGCTTTAATTTTCAAATAATAATTAGGATAACAATCAAGATTCAAGAAGGGTGGTTTAATTACGTAATCATAGACAGCATGTTTCCTATGGATTTATTTCTTTTTTATCATTATTTTGAAATTTTTTTATTTTAATTGTACTTAAAAAATTAAATATCCAGATATTTTTGGTTTTATTTTAAAATTAAAAGATATATAGTGATGTAGATTCATAGTGTATAATTGATAGTGAATATTAGATAGTGTATGCTTGATGATTTATCGTATATATAAATATTTAAAAATTTGTAACAAACCAAATAAATTTATAACAATACATTACAAAGAAAATCTTGCTTCTTTAATTTGGTAATAAAATTTTTCAAACTCTAAGACCGTTTATATAACTTTGTCTATAAGTAATATTTCTCAGCATTTGGGCTGCTCTTTGACCTTGCCGCATAATCTAGTTTCCACACAAGAAACAACAATCTTAGATCAATCCAACATTAAAAAGAATTTTATGCATTAAAACATTCTAACTTATTCACCAAGAAACTAAGAGAAAACAAAATATCTAAAGAAGAAAAAAAAACATATGTTGACGATGGTTTGGAAGAGCTTGCCGGTAAGTTCTTTGTCGATGAGTTCTCTGAGACTTTATCTTTTTTCATTAAACCTAGTGGATATAATGGTATTAAAGATCAACACGGAGATACGATGCTCTCAAATAGAGGTCGTTTTCAACGTAAGGCCAAACTTTTTTGTCTATCAATGTCTTAACATTAATCATCTCTTTAGCATATTATTTGGCCCTAGCTGCAGTTTTTGTTGGTGACAATTGCTCCAAGTAAAATCTGTCTTTCAATGTCAATGAAAAGTCCCTTGCTTGGTCTGAGTTATCTGTCCCAGTTGTTCTCACACACAAATCAAAACCACATTCAGTCAAATCGAACATAAAAGTAGAACCAATATCTAGAATCAAAGTAACCATTTCTTCTCCAACAACTCTTAATAAAACCGTAACTTTGAGTCTTCCATGACTGGTTTTTGAAAGAGATTAGACACCTAAAACGAAAGTTGTAGAGAGAGACGTATGGCTACAGATCGATCTAGATTGTTTTATAAACTTTGTTTTAATATATATATATAAAGTTCCAAAAGGGTTTAAAAGATTTAGAATTTTACTTGTGGCCGCATAAATCAATTAGATTAGTCAAAAATATTAGTAAGCTAAATGATCAAATTAAAATTAGTTTAAGAAAATAATTAGGTTCAATATTTTTGTGATTTATGTTAGTTACCTTTTTTTAGTAAACTGTATATTTTTATGATATAAACTCGAATTTGGAAATTTTGATTAAAAAAATAAAAATCAATTAAAATTAGATTTATTAATTAGTTAATTTCATTAAGGGTAAATAAAGTCTTTTCATATAAAGGGTAAAGAGTAATCAATCATCATAACTTTTAACCACAGTTCAACTTGCTTCTCAGTTAATAATATGATGGGATTTATTTTTTACAATGTAAAAAATCTGAGTGATCCAAACTAATAATAAATGCCAACCAATTAAAATCATAGTTATCATTCTTATATAGAGTCTCATAAAAAGAATATGTAAATTCTAACTGAATGGATGAAAAGACCAAAATTAGCAAAGTAATGGAAAAAATGTTATTTACAAAAACAAATGCATTTACATCAATAGAAGTAGAAGATACTCAAACCTTGCAGCGTAATATATACAATTTTAGACGGATAAGAAAACAAAATAACAAGACCATATTAGAAGAAGAAGAAGAAACTTCATGCTTGAAGAGCAACCTTAAAAATGGAAGTTTTGAGATCATCATATCGACAACGTTGATAATCAACCAAAACACAGAGTTGTCTTATGGCTTCTCTCTTCTCTTCCCCTAAGCTCAACAACTCAACATCTCTCTCCTTCACACTAATCTCAAGCTTTTTGATTCTTCTCATAGCCTTTGCTAGACTCAGCTTCCCTGTTCCTTCCTCTCCAAGCTTCGCTTCTAGTTTGGATAGCTTCTCCTTTAGCAGAGTTTCTTGTGCTTCTCTGCACTCTAGCTTCGCTTCCAGAGTTTCCACATCGTGCTTCATCTCACTCTTCTTCTCCTGCACCCACTTTCTCGCTGAATCAATATCTTTTGCTACTCTTGTGACTCGACTCGTTAGTTCCTCGCCTTCTTCCAGCTTCTTTATAACCAGCTCTGGTCCAACAAGCCCTTGCTCCACCATTTCTTTGATTTTCTTGCATTGGGTTTCAGAGACAGTAGCATCTCCTCTGTTTCCTCTGCTTTGTGTGTTGCCATAGCTGTTCTTGCTCTCTATGTGTATCTGTTCGGCTACATGGATCCTCCTGTACAGTATCCGGAGATGATCTTCCATTTTCATCCGATAATCTTCAGCTAATTCTTCCATTTTCCTCTCGAGAAGTTTGGTATTCAGTTTCGAACCGAATGACCAACGTTTCATTACCTTCTGATCCTCTGAGAACTTATCAATGGCGACTTTCTGCTCTTTAAGAAGCTTCTTTTGATCCTTGATCTCCATTGATAGCCTGCATTCAACCAAACTCAATGGTAAACAACCACAAGGCACAAGCTACGTTCATAGATAACAAATCTTGCTTTTGTTTCTTACCGGTGAATGACATCTTCTTGCTCCTTCACTGTTTTGTCACTCTTATCTTTTTCAATTTCATCAATGTTTTTCATCTCTCGGTGCTTCTCTAGTGAAATTAGCTCTGCATTTCTTGTGTGCAGCTTTTGATTCTCTTCCCTAAGGAGATCTATCTCTGTGATCTTACCCCTAACAATCTTCATCTCGGCCTTAGCACGTTCCTCGGTTTCTTCCTCCACACGCTTCAGTCGCATCCGTGTCTCTGAAACTTCATTGGTTTTCTTCTCCAGCTGCAATGCTAACTCGTTCTTCTGGTCACGCAGCAACGCAACTTCACCTTTTGTCGTCAATCCCTTGAGATGTGCTCTGTCCTCGTTTCTTTTACCTCCGATATCTCCCGCCAACTCCACGTTTTGGTCGCGAAGAAAAACCGTTTCTTGTTTCAGATTGTTCACCTGTCTCTTCAAAACTTCGTTTGTTGACTCTGTCTCTTGGATCTTTCTGAGCATCACCGAATAATCCGAGCTCCATGTGATCTCCCCCGCGCCGGTCTCTATTTCCTCTGAAGAATAGTAATCCAAATCCGAACTAGACAACGAGGAAGAAGCAGTACCCGATTGTCCTTTTCTTCCACCAGTCCTCGAATCAAGAAGCACAGAGTAAAGCAACTGACACTGGTCGTGAAGATCGTTAACGATCCCAACAAGCTCCTTCTGTGTAACCTTTGGGATCTTATTCTTGTTTTGTATAAAATGTAAAAGTATAGACAACTTCTTCTCCACTTCTGCAAATGTAACAATATAACTAACATTAACAAGTTTCAAAAGACATTGATCGCCTCACAAGCCTAAAACCAATGAACGTTATAAACAATTCTTAATTACCTGCTTTCGCCTCCTCCATTTGCAACATTTTTGTCCCTTTTTGATTAAAAATGCAGGAGCTTAATCACAGAAAGAGAAGAAGCAAAAACTGAAAGAAACTCTGAGAAAACAAAAAGAAGCAAATTCAATTCGTTGCATTACTTTTACCACAAGAAACCTTTTCCAACATGTTACTTCCTTGTGCATCACGAATCATTAAGGCTCCAAAGGAAATGCATACAATATAATATATATACGCAGACGACAGACCTAATAAAATATCAGAAACTGTACTATTCATCAATTCCTTTTACCACAAGAAATCGTTCCAATATGCAACTTCCTTGTCCCTCACGAATCTATAGGGTTCCATTGGAAATGCACAGAGACCTAATAAATATCAGAAATTAAAGAAACAAAATAGTAGAAATTTAATGTATCGGAATTTTTGTTTTTGTTTTTTGTAAAGAGGATGAAAAGCAAAGAGAATGTCGTTGTCATCAAAATTAAGCGGTGACGATTAATATAAAAGTCCATTTCGTTACGAAAGCTGAAAACACACAACTGGGTTCCACATTTCCACCATTGATTACATTCACAAACTTGCCATAATACTGAATTAAGAGATTTTTACCGGAAAAAAAAAATATGGATGGAATTGTGTTTCTCCGCCCGGCAGAGAAAACTGAAAGCAACGAAGATCTGACTAATATTTTTGGAAGAGAAAGAGTTTAGCGAAATCATGAGTCAAATAAAACGAGAGGTTGTGCGAAACTTTTTTTTTAAAAAAAGATTAAAATTAAAATTAGAATGTTTCTTTTTAGCTTACGAGAGGGAATTCAAAATTTGGCACTACTTGGTTAAGTAAATGCCACTCAAGTTTTGTTATAATTACGGAAATAACCAAACACGACGGATGGGGAAGCAGGAGTGGGGGCAATTTCTCGTCGATATTTTGCCAAAAGGACGTTGATTGGTTCAATATCCACCACTCATCCAGCTGAAGCTCTAATCATGCCACGTGGCATATATGGCTTGCGCTCCAAGTTGCCACAACTTACCTTCATATTATATTTATATCAAAATGTTCTTAATGTAATCAAGCAAAACAAAAGCTACATATTCGAGTTGACACTCGCTAGATCGCCTCGGCAGAGAGAGAGGAGTTCCTTTAAGAAGACAGGGTCTTCTTCTGGCGTGGAAGAACTCGAACGCAGAACAAGTTTCTTGAGGACTAGTGACTTCTCTACAAAGTAGCTTGCTACTTCCATAACAGCGGGATGATATCTCGGATGTCCGATTCTTATCTCTACAGTCTCGAGCGATGTCAGCAAACACCGAGGCACGGACGAGACTCTGAAAGGCTTCATCCAACGGGAAGGAACACGGAAAGCCTGCAGCAAAACATACACACGATCAATGAACTTTTTAGACAACACATTTGCTTACCGGTGAGAGAGGTTTGTTCTAGTCATTACCAAGATTAGGGATTTTAGATTCGGACTGCTTTCAAGAACCGTTTGCAGAATATCCGGGGACCACTGAAGCTCTACTTCCAAACATGACAGGTTGCAAAATTGGGATAGTGGTTCTACTTTCAGCGAGGGAGAGAATATCTACTTACATAAAACACAACAAGTAAAGTAAGACATACATATATATATATATATTGGTAAGCAAAAACATCATGGATATGAATAGCATAGACACATACATACCTCCAAAGCCTTGGCAGAGATGTGCATACTCTTACATACCGTGATATTGGTGAGAAAATTACGGGTCACGATGTATCGCAAGCCCACGTGAGCAGCATTACAACGCGTACTGAAATCGCCAAGAATAGTGACCTTGGTCAAGGAACCTGAATTGCCTATGGTTTGACCCGCAGACGTATCGTCTTCGAAACTCAGATGCTCGAGTCTAGGGGCATCTATTAGAACCGCCGAGTCTTTACGATCAACTTCGTCGTCATCCACAGCCACACCAAGATCATCATCATTCCAACCAAGGCTTATACTGAGACTGGTCAGTGTCAGGGAGTGCACTCGTAAAACCATTAGGTTATCAAATACCCTTCGAACAATGCTCAAATCTTCGAGAACTGGGCAAGACGAGATAAGCGACTCCAGGACCGCCTCACTGGCGTATACATTGTACTCTAAGAGCATCGTCTTGAGACGAGGCAAAGAAACAGACTCAAGCTTATCCAACGATACCCGGTGGAGTCTCAAGTGAAGGAGCGTTTCACAGATGTAAAGGCTTTGGGGAATCACCTCCAAATTTAAACAGATCAGAAGGGTTTGGGGAATCACCACGAAACCCTCGCGTTCCACAGGACACAAACACTCAACATCAAGACGCTCAAGTTTACCAGTAGCCACAAAGTCTATCCAACGATTCACACATAACTGATCATTCTCGTCCTTGCGAAGAATACTTAGCTTGAGTCTGTGCAAGCATGACTCCTCTTCCCTAGAGAAATCTAGGAACCTGTCCACAAAACCCACAAAGGCATTGTAATCTGGAAACTCCGAGGAGTCCAAATCCAGCCCGGGAATCGAAAGCCACAACTTTTTCCACCTATTGGACAGAACGCTTGTCCTAACAGCTTCCTTTGTCGGGAGATACAAGAGCATCTGAGATATCAAAGCGTCTGGTAATTTGCTTATCATATCCTCTCCTGCACTCGAGATATCAAAGCCTCTGGCTTTCCTTTCTTCCATCAAATTGAGACCAAGATTTCGCAGAGACAGCCTCGGAAACTACGCATTTAGGACAGAATTCAGTAACTGATCTATCAAAATCAAATAAACTTGAAAACCCAGAAAGTGTGTTTAAAAGCGAACAAGTTGAAATCACCTGATGGCTTTAGGGTTTTGAAATATGAGACGGGGACGGAGTTCTCATAGGAGATGAGAGTCTTTTAGGGTTTATCTTTCGCACACTCAAATCTAATATATGTTGAAAGCTGTCCGAAATACTTGTCCTTTGGCTTTGGGATTCGTTTTCTTCTTCAGGTACAATGGAAAAGGAAAGAGACAACAAGCTCTGTTTTTTTTCTTAACTGCGGAGACTGCGGAGAGTGATGACGAGGAAACCCTCTTCTTCACCTGGAGTCTTAGAAACCGAATCTTGTTAAAGAGAAATGCACGGACCCTCCAGCTAAGCTAAGGCGGCCGATTTCACGGTGGTGAAGCGCTCGGCGGCCACCAACCGCCGGGATTATGCTCTGATCGGACAAAATCTCGGCGCTCGTGAGAAAAATCGATTATTCTTTAGTTTCAATATTAAAATCACTAGTTATTTGATGGATCTAACATTAATTGATACAAAAATTAGATAAAACCAGGAAAAATGATAGAAACGGCGGAATTAGGGTTACATAAATCGATTTTCATAGGAAGAAGACAAGGGTATATTTGTCATTTACGCTTTATTAAAGCTAAAAGAAAACAAAAACACTTTAAATGCCTTCAAGAGCGTCGAACCCTCGACTTGAGGACAATAAAACATGCTTCCAATCACTGCACCATGCTATAACATTGGCGCCTAGCGAAGTTTCAAACAAGGATTTCAACCAATCATAAACAAAAACCGGATTATAAACCAGAAAGCTCGAACCAGAACCAAAACCAAAAACAAGATAAACCAGATTTTTGAGTTTTGCTTGGAAGACAACGACGACAAAAGATTACTGCTAAATCAAAACAGATACGAGTGACGATGTACAGAGAACTAAAAGTATGAATACAAAACAGTTTTGCTAAGAAAAAATTAATCCAAATCCTCAGAAGCAGCAATCTTCTGCTTCTTCCACTTAAAGGCTGCTTCAAGAATCTTGAGATTCGTTGTCTGCGATTCTTCTGGATATAGATAGTCAATGTATTCCTCATACCTGCCAAATATTCAAACAACATTAAGCTTTTAGCATTCGATTATCACATTCAAAAGATATAACAAAATGCAGAAATGATGCATATATATATATAAATATTCAAAGCGTACTCTGTAGAGCCATCTTCTCTAGTAATCGGCTTTCTCTTCTTGAGTTTCTTCGGGAGCTTAGCCTGAACAACACTAACATCCCCAAGCTCGCCGAAGCTCGTCTCCATGTTCAGCCAATCCTCCAAGAGCGTAGCTCGCTCTTCTTTCAGCTCCGGTGTGGAGTCTTTGTAATACGTGTTGGCCCTGTCGAAGATATCTGAGTAGAGGAAAGAACAACAGTTAACACAACATGTCATAAGGAATCATCAACAATATAACATCTAGTTTTGAAGTTACCTCTGGCGCGCTTGATGCAGTCCTTTCTGCGTTCGATAACATCATCTTCTTGTTCTTCATCTCCCTCGTCTTCTTCTGCAGCAGAAGCCTCAAACTTGGCAAAACTAACCCAGACCTTGTAATGCTTAGTACGATCCAGGAGTCGTTCATACAGAGCTCGTGTCCTCTCTAACTCCCCTTCTGATATCTCGAAATCAATGTATGCCTGCCACAAACGAAATAGAGGATTTAATGATCCAATCGTTTCGAAAAACCTGAGAAATCTCGCTTCTTTGGATGTATTATTAGACTGAGAAATTTACCTTCCATAGCAGCTCAGGCATGTCAAGAGCAGGCTGAGATATCGCAAGCTCAAAAATGGCCCTAGCTCGGTCCGTTTCAGCAAGAGACCTCTCCAATTCAGCATACTTGCTCCAGGCATAGCAATTCTCCGGAGACCACTCAAGATATCGCTCATACAACTTTCTACACCTATCTATGTTTCCTAGCTGGAGTTCGATCTCAATGTATTTCTTGAATATCTGTTTTGCAGGAAGACAAAAAGAATCACCAAAGTAACTAAACCATTTTCATGTGTGTGGTAAAGGAGAGCAATGAAAACAAACATTGTTCAAACAATTTTTCAGGCTTACCTTATCTTTTGGAGCTTTTCCAATCGCATTTCCTAATATCTGCCGTGCTCCCGTGAGATTCAATTGCCTGATCTCAAACTGTGCAGCAAGCAACCATACTTTGGCAAAAGAAAACTTGGCGTGTGGGATAAGCTTGAGACATTCTCTGAAATGTTTGGTAAGACACATACTGTCAGTCTAAACTGCCAATGACTGCATGTAAAACAGAACAGAGGTTGATATTAAGGTTTCAAAACGGCTTAGCGTACCTGTATACATCTCGTGTACGCTCCACATCTTCAGCTTCAATCTCTTCATACAATGCATAATTAATCCTACACCAATTTAGTCACATCAATGTCAGTGTTCCAGTAAACGGCAGAACAAGTTTAGAATAGATTTAGTCACTGCGACAAAGATATATCTGCCTAACACAACGAAACCCAAACAGTTTAGTTACACGAGACTAAACTCAACCATGATCAACATATAAGAAGCTAAAATCTGTAAAGTATATGGAAAGAAAGAAAGCTCACCAGAGATAGATATATCTCTGCCAGTATCGTTTCTCTTCGGCGGGTGGAACATTAGCGATAGCCCTCTCATAGATTTCTCTTACTCTGTCCTTGTTCCCTACAGTCTCTTCTAGCCTAACGTAATCGAACCACGAATCATAGTTCAAAGGGTTCTTCCTCACTTCATCTTCGTACTGAAACCTCCTTTTCCCAACAATGGCGTCCTCAATCCCTTCCTTATCACCATACTGTTTCTCAAACGCCACAAACTTCTTGTACAGATCCTCTGCTCTTCCTTTAGGGATATGATCAAGAGCAAACTTGTAGATAAACCTAGCACGTTCTGGTTCCTTGCATCGCTCTTCAAACTCAGCAAACGCCACAAAGAGCGTCTCGGCTTCTTCATCGTCTGCAAGCTTCTCCGTGGCGCGTTCGTACACACTCCTCGCACGACCAACTTCACCGCCTTTCATCTCGAACTTGGCATATCGGATGTAAGCAGAAACCTTTGGATGGCAAAGCACAAACCTCTCGTAGATGGATCTAGCGCGTTCGATTTCGTTATACCTGAGCTCGAATTTGATGAACGAGAGCCAACCTTGTTGATCCGGTGACCAATTCATCCACCGCTCGAATATCTGTCTAGCTCCGGCGATGTTCCCAAGTATCTCCTCCATGTGAATATACTTGTACCATAGCTGGTCCACTCGAGGGAGAAGCGTGACGGCTCGATCCCAAACGTTCCTCGCGCTGTTTACAAACTTGTTCTTCATCTCGAACTCGGCGTACTTGAGCCATAGCGTATGGTTCCTGTAATCGCCTTCGATGGCTCGTTCCCACACGCTCCGAGCACGAGCGTAGTCCTTCTGCGACTCTTCCCACTGAGCGTACTTGACCCAAACTTGGATGTTCCATCTCGCGCGGCGGATCTGGTCCTCAAACTCCTTCCGGCGTCGGAGTCTGTAGTCGGAAAGCTCAGTCGAATCAGTGATTTTCTGCTTAGGAGGACGGATCTCGGCCTCCTGCCTCTCACGGGCTTCCCTTAGAATCTGCTCGGCGGTGATTTGAACCGGCGCCGGAGTCTTGTTCTTGACCCGCGTCGGCCGTGGAAGCTTGACTTCCGTATCCTTCCGGGTCATGTACCCTAAGGTACGGTCGGAATCTTTGCCGGAGGCCATGACCTCTCGCGATTTGCTTTCTTTGTGTTTTTTCTGGGGTTTCAGGATTTTGGGAAAAGATTGGAAGAAAAGGATTAAACGCAGGGTAACATAGACGCACATGACAATATATTGGGCTATTAATGGGCCAAAATAATTTAGGCTCTTATTCCAATATCGGCCCAATATAAAATCACTTCCACTCTTGACAATTACATGTTGTTTGCAACCAACGATGTTATGAATTTATGTTTCAGGAATGAAATTAGACGACTATTAGTCTTACTCTTTAATCACACTTTAAAACTTTAAATTTAATGTCACACAAAATATAAAGAAATGAGCATTGTTTCATGGAGCAATCATCTAGTACTGTACATGATTAAAATGACCTGAAACAAATTAACATATTGTCTCATATTAAATAAGATTAGTAATTGTTATAAATGCCGTGCGCATGAGGTAACATACATGTAGAGTAGAGAAACACACGATCTATACATATCATCATCTATTTTTTTTCTTATAGAGAAGTATAAAACATACATATACAAATACACGATATAGAATATCACACATGCAAGTATTTGTATTTTTCACACTTTTACCATCTAATTTTTATTTATTAGTACCGTATGGAAACGAGGACATAGGATGAAATTAGTACGATATTCATATAGCAAAGGTACAAGATGATTATTACATCTAGTGCTCGTTCTCCGACGACCAGAGAAAAGCTCCGATTGCAAACTTCCTCTTCTCGTAAGAATCTCCGATGATCGGCAAGCCATACTCTCTCAAAACTTGATCCAACTGCCACTCTGGCATTTTCTCATAATCACTCTTTGTATATTTTGGATAATGAAGAGGAATCTTGAAGCTGCTCAATCGATTTTGACAAATGTTGTCACCGATCTTCGTCTTGTTCTTCTGATCTTCACAATCTTGACGATGATGATTGTTGTCGTGGATGGCTGAGTTGGAATGATCATGGCTGAATTGGATTCCCATTTTATATATTAAATAAAGGATTTACTTAATTTCTTGACAAGAAAACTAGGGTTTTTTTGGAGATTTTAATTAGGGTTTGATGTTTCTTATGTGGAAATGGGGTATGCGTTTATATAGGAAAATTCTGTGGATGAGGGTGAAGAACTTCGTGGGTTCATGTAGAAGCACGCACGTACTATATTTTGAAATTTTCTTTTGTTTTACTTTTTCTTTATTTTCTTGCTATATATACTTTTTAAAAATTGTTTTGTTTTTATGTGTGTTAATGTTTGTTTTTTCTGTCTTTTGTTTGTTTACTTTATCTCTATCGTCGACTTGTTTATTTGTATATATACTATAATTGACTAACCATTGTTAGTTACGAATTTATTTACTTTTATACTCGATCCTATAGATGCATATACATTTTCATTTTACATCCAATGATACTGAGTAAAATATAGTGTGAAGTGTCTCTTATGTAGTTTAATAATCTGTTATTAATGTAAATTTCCGAACATGTAATTATGTAAACACACAACACACATTCACGAGAACGCAATATATATATATATATATATATATATATATATATATATAATCCAACATGATTTACGAGAATTTAATCTTCTGCATGGCATGCCTAAAGACTTTTAAGAATTTTACAAATTGAGGTTTGTGCAACCTGCGATGTAGTCGTTCGTTTGTCGATCACCATATCTCTCGATCTCAGTAAATCACACACCATAAAATCTTTCATTTGGGAGTATTATATTTAGTTGACTGTTGCAAAATTCAATATTGGAGGCTGCTTAGAAGTTAAAACAAAACAAAACAAAAATAACAAATATTGGAGGCTGCTATAACAATATAATCACTTCACATATTAAATGCATCAAGATAAACTCTTTTTTTGTGTGGGTTGTCTATGTACCTCATTAATTGGCTTTGTTGAATTTTTGCTAGTTTTCGTTTTCACAGAACAGAAGCGAATTGAATGCTTTTCTTGTTCTTAGTAACTGTGAGACTGCGATCGAGAGTTAAGTGGTGAAGGGCAACTTGTTGATGAAAAGAAATAATCAATTTTCTAAAATGAGAATTTATGCTTTAACAATGGTTTACTCACGGATTTTTTTTTTTAATGCTACGATTTGAATGAAAATGCTCTCCTAAAAGCTTAGAGTTTCATACTGATCTTTAACAAACAAAAGAACAGAGTTTCACACTGACAATAAATTGCATGAAAATTCGAGTTTTGTTCTGGAAATTTCGATGGGGACAAATGGATTTAAAAGAGAAAGATGGACCCATTCTTGATTCTTTGGAACCATCGAAGTCTTTCTAGTTGCATGCATGCGACGACTACTACACCTTCTTTTTAATGTTTACAAGTGCCCTCTCCTTACGGATTTGGCGTAGCAATCACTTTCGTCAATTTGTAATCAATAAGAGCATGTTGAAGAACCCCTCGTGAGATTTTACTTAATATTTAATTATAAAATTTATTTTAAATTTTTTTGTTAAAATAATTTTGTTTCCTCTATTCCAATGGAAGAACTTTATTAAAGGTTCTTAAAAAACAATTTTTAATTGTAAATAAAGTTAAGAAAAAAAATTTGTTTTCTCAAATTCTATCTAATCAAACTTTGACACGTGGCACTTAAGAACCGATTACTAAAAATCGATTCGTTTCTTATTAACTAATTTTCATTTAATTAAATGTTTCATTATGCTAAGATTTCTTGTTAATAAACTGCATTGAACATGGTCTAAGAGCACTAGACTGACTTTTATTCATTGATTATTCAAAATGAAAAAGTACATAGTTTTTAAAATGAAAAAATTATAATTGCCACTCATTACTTTATGAATTTATTAAATCTTATAATTAAAAAAAAAATTTAAATTAGCTAAGCAATAATTCTCAACAAATAAAAATTAAATCTATTTTTAACTTGTTTCTTTCAATGCATTAACTCTAAAATTAAATTATTTCCTCTGTTTTTTATTAAAAGATATTTTAAAAGTCTAAACATAGATTAAAAAATTATTTAATTTTCTATTTTTTTTAAATAATTTTTTTATCAATTCTAAAACAGTTTAACCAATAAAAACATAAAATTTAGAATTCAAACAGTCAAATAATAAAAATACAATTAATTTTTACATAAAAATTTAAAAACATCACATATTTTAGAACAAAAAATAAACTCAAACACATTCTTCTTGTCGTTGGTGCAAACGCCAAAGTTGACGACGTCAAAAACATCAGAGGTAGTTAGGGTGAATTTCTCCTTGGCGAATAAACCCGTCGCCGTATGGGACACGGTAGATGCAATTTGGAGAAGCCGAACTGAGAGCTAATTGAAAGGTATGTGAAATTAGAAATTGAAACTAAAACTCGATAATACATAAACCAGAGAAGAAAAAATTGCCAACCGAACCTGGTGAAGAAGCACACACCGGCGAGGAGCTGGAGACGTTGGAGTCTGAAGAAGAGGAAGAAGGATTAAAGATAGGTTCCTTTTGGGAATAGCAACTTGTACATGTATAGAGTAGCTATCTCAATAGAGCTATAAAGACAATGAATCACATTTTTAGGCAACTATAGTCTACCTTTTAAAAGGAAGAACGCAAGATGTTGATGACGGGACAAGAGAGTTGACTTGGATAGTGTCAGAATAAATCTCTCCACTCTCTCTTTGTTCAGATCCCTCAGTACAACCCTAATCGAGACCAACACAAAGAATCGTTATGATACTGATCAACAGTTTCCTCATGTTGCTCATTTATACGTGAAATATGATGATTTGGTTGTTTGTTTTGAACAATATATGAATTGGTTGTTACTTCCTTTTATAAGCACATCTCTTTCGCTCAAGAAGAGCATACTCTCCATCAGTTAGGTGTATAATTAGGTTTTGAATTGTAGTTTTAGATGGTTTGGTGGGATTATAACTCGGAAGTCGCTCCCACCAAACGTTCCTTGAAAATTGATTGCTAGTTTTAATTGAAAATTTTCTTTCACTTTATGATTGAAATAATTGTGTTTATGTGCTTTGATACTGAGAAGAACTCCACAAAAATAAACAACTCGCGACACGCAAGGTAAGTGAGGGTAAAAAAAAAGAAATAGTTCTATCTGTGGTACACTCTTACAAAGGCTTCAAGCGAATTTACTACTTTGGGCACCTCAATGTACATATACAGAAGAAAAAAATAGAACCGGCACGTGAATTTTATAAGATCATTGTTTTAAAAGTAGTCATAACCAAAGATTTCTGATTCTAAGGAAGGTGAAGAAGCTAGAAGAAAGATCATTTACTAGCAAATGCTTTTCTATATGGATGAAAGAGTTTTGTACGATAGCAAATGCTTTCCCTACATTCGAATCAAGAGTCTGTCTTTTCTTCTACGATAACTTGCTTTAAGGTCTTGGGATGTGCTTCGTTTGTCACCGGCAAGTCCACCAGCGTTTGTGGAGGAGCAAAGTACATGTGGAGTGACATGATGCATATGACAATACCCAAGAAAAGCTGCAATGTTTTGATTCAGGTAAAGAAGACAGAATGAGGCATATACGGGGAAGGAAGATCCGAGATAGATCATATACAAACCTGGACTGTTGGTTTGAAGCTGAAGAGGTATATGGATGCAACCATAGTAAGTAGCATCGCCATTGACGTAGAATAAACCTACAAGAAAATGTAAATGCGAGTTGTTTAAGAATACTTTCTTATGTTTGACTGTGAAGAACAAGTTTGATATTTTTACCTTGACGATATTGTCTGCATACTTCATTAACCACGAGACAAGTAAGCCGGTGGATCCGAGATTCAGAACAACCAACCAAGTGGTGATGCTATACCCATCAAAGATGCGTTGCCACCAAGGACCCTTTTCAAACCCGAGTCTGAAATCATCTGCTATAAGTCGAGCAACGTTGAAAATTGAACCAAACCTGGTTAAAGTAGAGAAACAAAGAATATGATGATTGAATCGGACATTATTTTCCCAATGAAGAGCCTTCTGAGTTAAATAAGTAATGTGACAATTAATAATACTTTTGTTATGACTTATGAGAAAGTGTTGATGTGAAGAAGAGATACCTACGTATACAACTGCAAGTTCTGCCAGTATAAGCTGTCATTGTTTCTCTTCATCAGAAACTCTGTGTAGATTCCGGCTAGTGCCGACAAACCAGCTGAGAGGATGCCTAACAGATACCCTTGTATTGGTGCTGTGAATAGCGAATCACATGAAGCTTCTCCGCATCCCTTAACCTGAAAGGACAAGACAAATTGAATAACTGATATCATTTTGGATTACCAACATAAAACCCAGAGTGCTGAAAAAACTACTAAGATGAGCAATATTTTGAGAAGCATCAGGTTATAAGCCTATAAAGATTTTTTTTTTTTTAATATCAGTACTACGATAAAGAGGATAACAATCAAACGCAATCCAATGAGTATGCATCACCTGGCTAGTAGTAGTTCCAACAGCTAAAAGACCAATAGCCATCCACTGAAGGTTTGACAATTTCCTCTTCAAAAATAACCTACCAAGGACGATAAATTTTCAAGTTACTTACTCCACAGAGAGAACTCATAATCATTTTTGTTGTTGTTATTCCTATTTCTTTAGCGCAAAAAAGATAGTTACAGAGACAAAAAGCACATGAAGCAGATACCTAAAGAGAATGCCAGTGGTCACAATCTTCAGATTGCCCATTATCTGATAAGTGGATGTGTCCACATACGTCAATGTAGCAAACTGAACGTTGTTATGGATCAGATATATCAGCGAAGGAATAACAAATAGGCGCACGCTCTTCCAATCCTTAGTGATCCTCGCAGTTGCCGAGGAAGATGTTCGCATCTCTCTCCAGAGGAATAAACCAGAAATGATCAGCTGCAGAAAAAGATAATAAAAGCATAAACTTCAGCAACTAAGCAAGACACGCAAGAGAAACTGGGCTGAGCATAATGAAAACAAGAAAAAGTACCTTAAAGACTTCGGCAAGAAAAGGAACCGTAGCATAATCGTACTTATAGCCTCCATCACTTTGAGAAAGAGTTGTTAAAATTCCCTGAGGCATATAAGTTTACACAGTAAGAGAAGGTAAAATATATCATCGACTTAGCTCTCATCATCGAATCTGTTCAATTTCTATGTCAAACATAGAACTCAGACAAAGAATGATGATTATGACTTCCACAAGAGTAATAGCTTGAATTTTCAAATTCTCACTGAAATTTTATATAAAATCGAACAATCAACCAATCACAAGCGCCTCCATTTCCAGGCAAAATCACAAGCATAGAGTGAAATGTTCACAGTGTGAGCTTAAATAGCTAGCCAGAATTGAATGAATTTGGATCCTGAGTCGACACAGAAACAACCAATCCCTCGCAAATTTACACCAGAATCCACTGGAATCTCGCATCTCACGATCTCAACTATAGATCCATAAACTCGCGGAAATTCCAAAAAAAATTAGTAATCGAAAACGAATCTCGAAAGTCCACGAAATCAGCGAAATTCAATCAAAACTAGGGAGAGGATACGAGACGCAGAGAAGAACAAAAAAAGAGGATTCGGAGATTTAGGGTTGGAATTGGAACCTGAGAGCTCGTAAGAATGGTGAGAAGTACAGCTACGAAGTACCACGGAGTAGCCATTACTGTTCTTCTTCCTCTGCTTTGTTGTTTTCTCTCTCTTCACTCTCTCATTTCGTAGCTTTCGTTCTCTTTCTCTAACTGTATTTTTGATTCACATGATTCACATCACCGCCTTTTCCCCGTGAAATATTCTTTCTCGCCATTAGAGAAATATTCAATTAAAATAAAGTAAACTTACATACGTGGATTTGATATTTGGGTTTTGGGCTTCACTGCTATTAACTTATGGGCCATAAAAAATATAAATGGCCTCCCACGACATTTTCTTTTCAAAAGAAGCGTATACATTAGTCTGGTTTGAAGCAGGTCAATTTGTATGAAGACAACATAGAGGCAACCCTTACTGATATGATCCGTGAGACTGCTAAGATTAGCACTTCACCTGTACGGCTCGGTGAAGACTGAAAAGTGTCTTCTTTGGGAGAGTTTTTCGCTCTAATCACAACATGAAACTTGTCTTGAGGCGAAGCTCGGAGCTCACTAGTCACTTTCGTCCCATAGTTGGGACTTTCTTCCCATAGTTGGGGCCTGCTTCTTGCGGGTCCATGTGTTTAGATCCTCTGGTGTGGAGAATTCAGTCAACAGATTCAGTTTCGAACTCCGTTCAGTTGTTGTTGTTGTTCTTCTTCTTCTTCTACAGACCAAAAGTTTCAAAGGCCAACTCCAACAAGCTGTACATCTACTCTGTTTTCTCCTTGGTGTAAAACCTGTATATCCAGTACTGCTTTTGATGTCTTCACTCTGAGAATCCTTACCAGCTTCTTCTTCTGCTTTATACTCTCCATCTTCATCCGAGTTGTGGTTGCTGATAGAGTCGTCCAATTCGGTGATGCGATTCTCATCTTCCCCGTTCAAGATCCTTACACCACACGCAGCTACCTTGTACTTACTCCCGCCCTGGAATTCAAACAGTATCTCGCTCACTTGTGAGGAGGATCTGTTGTTTTGGTGACCAATCAAGTCACCACGAAATATAAACAGATGTTCCATGAGAATCAGAGGCGAGTTGTCTGAAGTCAAATGAATATAGTTAATTTCATTGACGAGGACGTCTCCTTTGCTTCTTATATAACAAGATATGTGAAGCTGTCCGTGATCACTGATTGGCGAAAGCTTGAGGCAAGCTTTGAATCTCGAGGACGCAAAGAAAGTCTCCGAAGAGATGCTTATGCGGTTTCCTGAAGCTTTGTGAGTGAACTCTACAGGGATATTGACACCGGGTAAGCATACATACCTGGCGACCCTGTGTTGTATGATTGCTCGCCTTGATTCTTCACTCAGTCTCAAACAGTTGTGGAATATGAGTTCCTTGATTGGATCTTGGAGACGTACTAGTGGGAGTGTCACTCTCTCAAGTGACACACAGTTGTCTGCGTGTATGTACTTGATCGAAGAGGGAAGACCCGCCACTGACGCAAGCTTTCTACAGTTTTTGATGATAAGAGTGTGTAGCCCATCCATAGCTCTAACGTAAGATGGAATCTTCTCTATATCTCTGTAGCTTAGGTTTAGATCCCTTATGCTCTCTCTCTTGTGGTCTCTGTCACCTACATCAGCCCAAGGAATACGGTAACGATGCAGGTCGCGCAATGGAGGAGCTTGTTCTATCTCCGTGCCTCCTCCATAGAGATTCTTGACGTTCCTAGAAATATCTGGATAATTTCGTATCCCTGAGCAATAACTCCTTCTGACATCCGCAGGAGATGCTGATGAGTTGATGCTCATTGGAACAACTTGTAGCTTTTTGCATCCCCACAGCGTCAGCGTTTCTAGTTTTTGTAGATCCAATATAAAAGAGGGAAACTCCACCAAGCTTTTGCAGTGGATCAGTGTCAACGTCTCCAGATTAGTAGCTCTCGTAAGGTTTGGGATCTCTTTCAACTTATTACAAAAGTTCAAATTTAACTTCTTCAGATTCGCAAGGGGCTGCATCATTTGTCCAAAACATCAACAAATGAGAAAACATATTCAAGGTTGAGAAATAAACAGACATAACTTAAGAGTATGATCAAAATACCAAACCTGGATTCCTCCCCAAAGCTTCTCAAGCTTGCTTGATGGCATATTGAGCTCGATGAGACATTCCGAACGAAACGTTGGAGGAAGAAGTGTTCCTTGGTATGAATCCCAACGTAGTAGCTTCAGACGAGGTAGATATTCCATGTCCCCATTTATGTGGACCAAGCCAGCATTTGCAGCTGTGGAGTGAACTCTTAGAAACTGGAGGTTACACAATTTTTCAAATGCTCGTCCACTTATCACCAAGTCGCCAGTCTTGAACATATCCAACGATATACCTTTGACAGATCCAGTACCCTAACAAAAGATTGATGAAGTTGTTAATTATCACAATAACCAAAACCTCTATAGAGAATAGATTGAGAAGAACTTACTGTTCCATTTACAAGTACATTGAGAACATCTTGAGCCTCTATTAGGAACTGACGTTTCCCCGGGTCGTAAGACTGTTCAACAACTTCCTGTCTACCCAATCTTTGGAGTAGATAGTGCATCACTATCTTCTTTTCAGTAGATATATGCACCAGAGATTTATCGGCTAGGATCTTCAGACCATTTCTGACATCCAAGTTACTGTCAAGCATTGATGTCACATGGTCAACATCATCATTATTGAAGAAGCAAGCAATGTGTAGAAAGATGGATTGATGTTTCTTCAACAACTTGTCATATCCCACTCTTAACACATCTTCGATTTTCCTATCAAGGCGAGTTTCAATCCCAGATAACTGAAGTTCCCACTCGGCTTTGGTCTCGCCACGCAAAGATGCACCTACAACACGAAGGCCTAATGGGAGTTTACCGCAAAGCCTTGCTACTTTATTTGCAAGATCTTCAAACCCATCTTGTGGAGAAGGTTGTTTGAAAGCAGATAGGCATAAGATCTCAAGAGCTTCTTTTTCCGAAGGCAAATCCACATGGTAGATATCTTGAATCCCATGTGCTTTCAAAATCTTTTGATCTTCCGTGGTAACGATGATCCGACTTCCAGGACCAAACCAAGAAGGCTCTTCAGCCAAAACCTCTAACTGCTCTACATCGTCTACGTCATCAAGAATGATAAACGCTCTTTGGTCATGTAGCCACTCTTTTACAGAACCTAAGTGATGTATCTTGATATTCTTTTGGTTCAAGATCTTGGACAGAAGCTGGTTTTGCAAACACAACTTGGAATCATAGTCATCAGCACCAACTATTCTCTTACAGCTTCCCTTGAGGTTCCCCATGAAACAACTACGCGGAAAATCGGTAGAGAGTTGGTCGAATAAAGCTCTAGCGATAGTAGTCTTACCGATTCCCGCAGGACCCCAAACTCCAATCATTTTCACTTCATCGCACTTGTTGAGGCATAACAAAGAGCGCAGTTTCCTCAAGTGAGCTTCCATCCCCACCATCCCCTCAAAATCCCTTGACTTTGTAACATTCAGTTTATCGGAAACATCAATGGCGATCTTTTGGATCATGTCCCCTTCGTCATCCCTAACAACAAAAGAAACAAAATCATATACATCCATGTCAATTTGATGAATCTTTTACTAACAAAACCATGGAATATTCTAGCTTGAGTGAAGCAAAAGAAACGACAAACCAATTCAGATAGTGTTCTCCGGCTATGTCTGCGACACGAGTCAAAGCTTTGCTCCAGCTCTGCTTCTCTTCCTTTGTTTTCCCTTGACAGGTATTCTCGAAAGCGGTTCCGAAGTCTCCGCTCTGTTTCCGAACGTGGGACGGATCAACATCATAGAAAATGGTCATCACAATCTGGTCCAGATCATCTTCGCACTTGAAGATTTCAACCAGCTCATCTAAGCACCAGCTGGAAGAAGCGTAGTTCTTGGAGAGCACAACGATGGAGACCTTAGATTCTCTGATGGCTTGTTCGAGCATAGGTCCGATCATGTGGCCTCTCTCCATCTCCCCATCCTTGAACGTCAAGATCCCGTTGATTGTAAAGTATTTGTGTAAGTGACTGAGAAATGATCTACGAACATCTGGGCCGTGGAAGCTGGGAAAAACATGGTATCTCCGACTCCTTGAGTAAGTCAAAGCAGAAGAAGCAGCCATGAGCACTGAGTGATGACTTATTGCAGATCTGTAATGATTTCTGGAGAAGAGGAGAGAAGAAACTCGAAAGAGATATGGATGATGATGATTGATTGAGTTTTTTTTGTTTGACTTATTTTCAAGTCTTTTTATAATCAATTAATCATCATGGTCATCGATGAGTGACCCATACTATAATTGGAAATAGAATTCTCACAACGTGAAGGCTCTAGCTCCATTAAAAAAAAAGACAGATTGAATAATTGAAATCATTTTGAATTACACAGAGTGCTGAAAAAACTACTAAAGATGAGCAATATTTTGAGAAGCAAAGGTTATCAAAAAGCCTATAAAGATTATATTCCAATATCAGTACTACGATTTTCTTATTCTACAAAGCGAACATAGAATCATTTACACAGTGAGAGAAAGTAAACCATACCATTGACTTAACTCTCATTATCAAATCTCTCCTCCACCTAATAATATCTGAAACACAAACTCAGAACATAAAAAATGATGATCATGACTTCTATAGAGTGATAACTTGAATTTTTCTAATAGCTTTATCGATGATAACAAATTCTCACTGAAATTTTATATAAATCGAGCAATCAACCAACCAATCATACAACCTCCATTTCTCTACAACATCACAAGCATAGAGTGAGATGATCACAGTATGAGCTTAAATAACGATCCTTTGAATGAGATTGGGTCCCGAATCGACACAGAAACAATCAAGCACTCGCAAATTTCAAGTTGAAACCGTGGTAATAGCATAAACACACTCTAAAACCTACACGATTCAGATAGATTTGGCGACAATACCATAAGCGATAGCTCAACTATAAATCCATAAACTCGCGGAAGTTCCAAAAAATCAGTAATCGAAAACGCACAAAATCAGTGAAATTCAATCAAAACTCCGCAGAGAAGAACAAAAAAAAAGAGGATTCGGAGATTTAGGGTTGAAATTGGGACCTGAGAGCTCGTAAGGATGATGAGAAGAACAGCTACAAAGTACCACGGAGTAGCCATTACTGTTCTTCTTCGTCTGCTTTGTTGTTTTCCCTCTTCACTCCCTCATTTCGTAGCTTTCGTTCTCATCACCCGCCTTTTCCCCGTGGAATTTTCTTTCTCGGCATTAAGAAATTAAATTAAAATAAAGAAAAGCTTAATAATAATAATAATATACATATCATCGCTTTGATTTTGGGCTTCACTATTGAAACTATGGGCCTCAATAAATCTAAATATGTCCTATTAGCTTAAATATGCATTACTTGTTGTATGTATAACCTGGAACAATCAAAGCCTGATTCTTCAAATGTCCTCTTAGCTTATGTAGAATTAGCTCGAGGCTCTGAGCGCAATGATGTCCCTTAGGTAGCATATGCTTTGGCTGGAGCGTTGCTAACTATTGATAGGTTTTAATATGACTTGAATCTTTTCAATAACCATTCATCAAAAGACCAGAAGAAGTTCGAAATTTGGAAATCATAGTGGAGCTTCTGTCTTCCAATTCGTCTTCATCTTCTTCCCAAGACCAAGCTTTCCAAACAAAAGAAAACACAAAAAACAAAAAAAGAACAAAAAAACAAAGAAGTTGATGTTGCCTACAGGTTCATCAACATCATTGTCGTGGTCGTTTGTGTTGCAACAGGGTGACTCAGTGATACGTTTCCTAACTTCCTCCTCCTTCAAGATTTGTACACCGCACTCAATAATCTTGTGGTTATCTGAGCATGTGAATTCAAACAGAATCTCTCTTGTATACGCACCCACTTGAGGGCTTCTGTTTTGTTGGCGTGACAGGTCACCACCAAGTATAAAGAGATGCTGTGTTCGAACACGAGGAGCTTGATCTGAAGTCATTGCCAGATAGTTGACTTGGTCGATGAGGACACCTTCTTTGCTTCTTAGATAACAAGTTACATGAAGAAGTTGGTCGTCCTTGATCGGCGAAAGCAGGAAGCAAGCCTTGAATCTTGAGGAACCACTGTAGAAATTCCCCGGAGAGATGGTTATGGAGTTTCCTGCAGCTCGGTGAGTGAACTCCGCGGGGACTTGTTTACCAGGTAAGAATACATACTCGGCGAGCCTACGATTTATGATTACTCTTGTTGCCTCTTGGTCCAGTTTCAAACAGTTACGGAACATGAGCTCCCTGATCGAATCTGAATCTTGTGAAACCGCTGAGAATTCGACCCTCTCAAGTGAAACACAGTTGTTTGCATGAAGGGACTCGAGAGAACAAGGGAGATGCTCCACTGAAATGAGTTTCGTACAGTTGTCGACGATGAGAGTTTGTAAACGATGGAGACTGCTGACGTAATCAGGAATACTCACTATATCCCTACCGCTTAGGTCTATCTTCCTTAGAGTTTCCAGAAGTGGCAATCTCTTGAGCTCTCTACCAACTACATCTGGAACCCTCTCTATACCACTACCGCTTAGGTCTAGCTTGGTCACGTTTTCTGGAACATGTGGTAATCTCCTGAGGTCTTTGCCAACTGCATCAGGCCGTAACCGACGACCGAGAAATGATGGACCCCCGACCCATAGACTATCAATGTTCCGAGTAATATCTGGAAAACTTCTCTTTACCGAGGTAAATCTCTTACGAGATACTGAGTTTTTGGTGTTGGTTGGAACAACATGTAGCTTGTTGCAACCCCACATCCTCACCGTTTTTAGTTTGTATAGATTCCTAATAGAGTAAGGAAACTTCACCAAACTCGTGCATTGGATGAATGTCAGTGTCTCCAGATTGGTAGCTTTCGAAAGATTTGGGATCTCTTTCAACTCGAAAGAAAAGTTCAGGTTTACCTTCTTCAGATTTACAAGGGGCTGCACCAACAAATGAGAAACATCAAATACAAAGTTGAATCATTACAAACATACTTAAATAGGGATATCAAATACCATACCTGGATCCCTTCCCATAGCTTCTCGAGTTTGCTTGATGGCATATGGAGCTCGATGAGAAACTCTGGCCGAAATGTTGGAGGAAGACTTGTTCCTGGGTATGAATTCCAATGTAGTAACCTTAGACGAGGTAGAAACACCATGTCCTCTAGTGTGCACAAGCTAACATTTGCACTGGAGTCACCACTCATGTAAACTCTTAAAAATTGGAGATTAAGCATTCCTTCAAAGGCTCTCCGATTTATAAACAACTCCACAGTCTTGGACAAATCAACAGATATGCCTAGGACAGATTCAGTACCCTGCAATCATGTATCCATAAATATAGATTGATTGATGAATTTGTTATCACAAAAGGCATACAATATAGAGAAGGATATGTATGCATGTGTAAGAACTTACTGTTCCATTTGCTAGTACATTGAGAACATCTTGAGCTTCTATTAGGAACTGACGTTTCCCCGGGTCGTTAGACTGTTCTACAACCTCCTGTCTACCCAATTTTTGGAGTAGATAGTGCATCACTATCTTCTTTTCGGTAGATATATGCAAGAGAGATTTATCAGCTAGGATCTTTAACCCGTTTCTGACATCCAAGTTACTGTCAGCGAGCATTGATGTCACATGGTCAACATCCTCGTTATTGAAGAAGCAAGCTACGTGGAGAAAGATGGCTTGGTGTTTCTTCAACAACTTGTCATATCCCACTCTTAATACATCCTGAATACTTTTATCAAGGCTAGTTTCAAGCCCGGATAACTGATGTCTCCACTCGGATTTGGTCTCACCACACAAAGATGATCCTACAACACGAAGGCCTAATGGGAGATTACCACAAAGCTTTGCTACTTTCTTTGCAACATCTTCAAAACCATCTCGTACAGAACTCTGTTTGAAAGCAGATAGACACAAGATCTCTAGAGCTTCTTCTTCGGATGGAAAATCCACATGGTAGATATCATGAATCCCATGTGCCTTCAAAATCTTTTTATCTTCTGTTGTAACAACGATCCGACTTCCAGGACCAAACCAAGAAAGTTCTCTAGCCAAAGCGTCTAGTTTCTCAAGATCATCAACATCATCAAGAATGATAAGCACTCTTTGATCTTGTAGCCATTCTTTGATTGCACCTAAATGACGTACCCTCATATCCCTTTGTTTCAGAATTTTGGACAGAAGCTGGCTTTGTAAAGCCAGCTTGGAATCATAGTCATCAACACCAACTACGCTCCTACAGCTTCCTCCTCTAAGGTTCCCCATGAAACAACTAAGTGGAAAATCACTAGAGATCTGGTCGAATAAAGCTCTAGCAATGGTGGTCTTACCGATTCCCCCAGGACCCCAAACGCCAATCATCTTCACTTCATCACTCTCAAGGCGTAACAAAGAGTCCATTTTTCTGAAGCGAGCTTCCATTCCCACCATCCCCTCAAAATCTCTCGAGAGAGTGAGATTCAGTTTGTTGGAAACATCTACGGCAATCTTTTCAATCATCTTCGCTTCACCATCCCTAACAAATCAAAGAAACAAAATCCGTTGGTGGGTTTGAGTTTTCTATATGTTGATGAGACTAAAAACTAAAAAGACAACCACACCATTGAAGCAGTGACTAATTGAGAAAGGTTTTTCTAATTCACTGAAGCACCAAAAGAAAAACTACAAACCAATTCAGAGAGTGTTCTCCGGCTATTTCTGCAACACAAGTCAGAGCATTGCTCCATATCAGCTTAGCCTCCTTCGTCTTCCCTTCACAAGTTCTCTCGAAAGCGCTCCCGAAATCTCCCTTCTGTTTCCGAACATCAGACGGATCAACTTCGTAAAAAACAGTCATCACGATCTGCCCCGAAGCTTCTTTGCACTTGAAGATCTCAACCAACTCATCTAAACACCAGCTCGAGGAAGCGTAGTTCTTGGAGAGCAGAACGATCGAGATCCTGGATTCTCTAATGGCTTGAACGAGTTCATGTCCGATCGTGTGGCCTCTCTCCATCTCCCCATCCTTGAACGTTGTGATCCCTTTGGTTGCAAAGTGTTTGTGTAAATGGCTGAGAAACCCTCTACGGACGTCTGGCCCGTGGAAGCTCGGAAAGACATGAAACCTCTTTGGGTAAGTCAAAGGAAATGAAGCAAAAGAAGCCATCAAGCAAATGATTTCTGGAGAACAGACTAATTGAAGGGGAAAAAGGCTTCAAGAGAAAGAGAAACTTATGAATGATTGATGATTGGTTGACTTATTGGACACAGGTCACGAAACTTCCTCGTAGTCGTCGACGCGACGACCCATATATTTGTTAATTACATGTAACTAAAAAAATCCAATTTGGTGACACACTTATTTATTTAATAATAAGGGCTTATGATCTCCCAGACGTGTGGATAAAATTCTCACAACGTGGATGCCATTAACATAAAAACTATATACTATATAGTGCAATAATTGAGTGTGAAAAAAATGTATTCTTTAATAGTATAAAGGAAACTCGCGGGAACACATATCATATATGGACTCCAGAGAACCTGGACATGTTTTCAACGATCAAAAATATAATCAACCTGCCGAATAAGAACATTTCCAAGATTTTCTTGAAAACCGTTACAGACGAAGAAACATAATTAGGGATTTTCTTTGCAACCCAGAAGAAGAATAAAGGGGGGAAAGTCTCTTCTTTTCTTTTCTGGATTCTTCTTTCTCTTTTCTTCGGTTTGCTTTCTGTTTCTCCTTTGAATCTTCAGGTGATTTTTCAACTTTCATTTTCAATTTTTTTTTGTTTTTATCACATTTCCAAATACAGATGTGAGATTGTTTTGGATGATCATCAGGTCGGAGATTTTCCTGATTCGGTTCGTGTATGATGTGATTTTTGTATGCTCGATTGATCGATCCTTTGAAGAACAAAGGATCTTCTTTTCAGGTTTTACCTCGAAAACCCTAAATGTTGCTTCTTTTGGATCTATCTATAATGTCTGAATGTTCTTTGGTCTCGTTTTGATCTTATCTGCTGTATAAATGCGTAATGTCACTGAAATTTGATCTGTTTCTGTATCTTTTTGCCAGCATATATTCATAAATCTCAAGATTTGTTGGTTTTTGAGATAAAAGGAGATTTGAGGGTTGCACAACAGCAGATATTGTCTAATTAATGGAGCAATTCAGACAAATAGGCGAGGTTTTGGGAAGTCTAAATGCACTAATGGTACTACAAGACGATATCTTGATCAACCAAAGACAATGTTGTTTGCTGTTAGACATCTTCAGCTTAGCTTTCACCACTGTCGCAGAAGAGATCAGACAGAATCTGAAGCTCGAAGAGAAACACACAAAGTGGAAAGCCCTTGAACAGCCTCTCAGGGAGCTTTACAGAGTGTTTAAAGAAGGAGAATTGTACGTTAAGCATTGTATGGACAACAGTGATTGGTGGGGCAAAGTAATCAACCTTCACCAGAACAAAGACTCTGTTGAGTTTCACATACACAACTTGTTCTGTTATTTCCCTGCGGTTGTCGAAGCCATTGAGACAGCCGGAGAGATTTCGGGTCTTGACCCTTCTGAGATGGAGAGAAGGAGAGTTGTGATATCAAGAAAGTACGATATAGAGTGGAACGATCCTAAGCTGTTCCAATGGAGGTTTGGGAAACAGTATCTTGTCCCTAGAGATATTTGCAGCCGGTTCGAGCATTCATGGAGAGAAGACAGATGGAATCTTGTGGAGGCGTTGCAAGAGAAGAGGAAATCAGACAGCGATGATGTCGGAAAGACAGAGAAGCGTCTTGCTGATCTGCTTCTCAAGAAGCTAACCGGGTTAGAGCAGTTTAACGGTAAACTGTTTCCGAGCTCGATACTTGTTGGCTCAAAGGATTATCAGGTGAAGAAGCGGTTAGGTTCAGATGGACAGTACAAGGAGATTCAATGGTTAGGTGATAGTTTTGCAGTGAGGCATTTCTTCAGCGATCTTGACCCGTTAAGTTCTGAGATCTCTTCTCTTTTAGCACTTTGTCATTCGAATATACTTCAGTACCTCTGTGGATTCTACGATGAAGAAAGGAGAGAATGTTTTTTGGTTATGGAGCTTATGCACAAAGATCTTCAGAGCTACATGAAGGAGAATTGTGGACCAAGAAGAAGATATCTCTTCTCAGTATCCGTAGTGATTGATATAATGCTTCAGATTGCAAGAGGAATGGAGTATCTCCATGGAAACGATATCTTCCATGGAGATTTAAACCCAATGAACATTCTCTTGAAAGAGAGGACTCACACAGAAGGCTACTTCCATGCCAAAATCTCTGGATTCGGTTTATCTTCTGTCAAATCTCGGTCTTCCTCTAGACCAAGCACTCCTGATCCTGTGATATGGTACGCACCTGAAGTTCTAGCAGAGATGGAGCAAGACACTAAAGGCACAACAACAACTCCGAAATCGAAGCTGACTCACAAAGCTGATGTGTACAGCTTTGCAATGGTGTGTTTTGAGCTTATAACAGGTAAAGTTCCGTTTGAAGACAGTCATCTTCAAGGTGAGCAAATGGCTATCAACATTAGGAAGGGAGAGAGACCTCTCTTCCCTTTCCCTTCACCTAAACACCTCGTTGGTCTGATCAAACGGTGTTGGCACTCAGAACCGAGCCAGCGTCCCAACTTCTCTTCCATTTGCAGGATACTAAGATACATCAAGAAGTTCCTAGTTGTGAATCAAGACCATGGCCACCCTCAGATGCAAACTCCACTTGTTGACTGTTGGGACTTGGAAGCAAGGTTCTTGAGGAAGTTTCCAGGTGACTCAGGGTCACACACGGCGTCAGTGAATCAAATCCCTTTCCAGCTATACTCGTATAGGGTTTTGGAAAGAGAGAAGATGAATCCAAACTCAAAAGAAAGCAGTAACTCAGAGGCAAGCGAATCAGAAAGCGTTTCAGTGGTCGATGATCCACCTAACGCCACAAGAGATACAAAGTCTTTGTGTCTAGACACAATCTCTGAATACTCAGATACAAGATCAGTTTCCTCAGAAGCTCCTATCAAAAAGGTCTCACCAGCTTTAAAGAAAACCGGCGAGATGGTAAAGCTGAGAAAAAGTCCAAGCTTAGGTCGGTTTATTCACTCTTCTTTATTCTCAAATTCTTCAGTGAGAAGACAGCTAAAGTTTTTGTTTAATATGATCAATGTAGGTTCAGAGAAGTTGAGAGCTACAGGGACTACTACGCCGGTAAAAGCAAGATCATCGCCGAAAGTATCACCGTTGAGTCCATTCGGAAGAAGCATTAAGGCGAGGAAGGATAATCGATTGCCTTTGAGTCCAATGAGTCCTCTAAGCCCAGGAATACGTAGACAACAAACTGGTCATGCTTCAGACTCTGAGCTTACTTAGCTTTTCATCAAAACATTAAGAAACAGGAGAAGATTCATGAAAGACATTTTTGTCAGTTTCATAAGTGAAAAACAAAACAGAAACCAAAATCAATGAGGTAGGAATCTTTGCATACTTTTTTTGTCAGTTCCTATATAGAAGCTTCTCGTGGGATTTGTCTTCAAGAGTATGGTTTCCATTTCTTTTCTTCTTTTACTGGGTAGCTTTTGCAAGAATACAATCGAATGTTGCAATACTAACTTTTTTTTGTGTGTGTACAAAACAGAAACTGATCAGTTTTTTCAAAAAGATTAACATTCAACTATCTTCTTTTGTTTCTTTTAAAAATTTAAGGCAATAAGTTTTTTTTTACACTTACACCGAATATCACCAACAAATTTTTGAATAATGTTGATATTTTAATATACCACTAGGTAATAGCCCGCACCATGTGTTGGGTGAAATAATAACTATTTATTTAATATAGTATAATTTCAAAATCATATATCAAAATACAATTAATTTTATATAAATTGTTTATAACATTATGCTGCAATATTGACAAAATGATTTTTTTGTTTATTTTATGAAATATAGGGTAATTTATTTCTAATGTAAATTAGTTTAAAAATTAAATATATATGCGCAATCAGGATAGAAATACGAAGTCACTCTTTATATATTCTATAACCCATGATTAATAACATGAGCTTAAAATTAAAAAAATAAAGGAAGTATATTTTGATTAAATTATTAAGTATCTAATGCATTATGATAATAAAAATTTACAACTTTCTCTGTTTCATAATATTAATTTTTTTAAGGTTTTGTTTTGTTTCACAATATAGTTACTTCCTATGAATACTATATGACCGATTATATTTTTCAATTTTTCATAATTAGTTGAATTATATTTAATTTATATACTAAATAATTACTTTTTTAAAAGAAAAGTTGCTTTTTAATCTTTGTGCTTTGATGCAAAACAACTTATATTTGGAAATAGAGAGTATTAAAATTGTAAAGATAAAATTTGTTTCATAATATTAGTTTTTTGAGGTTTTGTTATGTTCAACAATATAGTTGTTTTTATTTTTTTACTACTTACCGATTATATTTTTTAGTTTTTTTATAATTAGTTGAATTATATTTAATTTATATACTAAATGATTACTTTTAAAAAAGAAAAGTTGATTTTTAATCTTTGTGCTTTGATGCAAAAAGACTTATATTTGGAAATAGAGAGTATTAAAATTGTAAAAATAAAAATTTTATTATAAAATTTTATAATCGATTTAATTATTTTTTGTACGAATGTGAATGCATATTTAGATTAATCTGCAAAAACTATAGTCATAAGAATATTAACTTTTAAGAAAAAAAATTACTGTGAAATTTATTTTAAATACTAAATATACATAAGGATTATATAAAAATAGATTATATTTTTTTAATAAATTATTTAAAATTGCATATAACTGAGTCAATACTTCTACATTCTTAACATTTTGATTCAATAAAAATATTTTTAATATCAAAAATGTTTAATAAAATTATTATATAATATCCTTACAAAAATATTTTAATTTTTACCAAGTTATTTTTTTGTATAAACTAAAAAATTATGATATTTAACTTTTTAATCAAAGAAAATATTTAAAATATTATATTCTATTAAGATATTCAACTATTTTTTATAGTTCAACTTTTTATAAATATTTTGTACTTATTATAAAGTTTAAATATTTATATTATTTGGTTAATTTATATGGTTCTAAAACCATATGAAACCAAAAATAATTATAATAATAATATCTATTAAATTAAGCTTCCTGTTTTTTTTTATCATTTATGTATTTTTATATTGATTTATGAATCATCTATCTACACATCCTTATTTTTAATTTTAATCTTTCAAAACATACTTTTGTTTATTAATCATTTGAGTAATTTATATTTTTTTATGAATTTCGAATTATAACACATAATATATATATATATATATTACTATATGAATGATTTGATGATTTATTTTCATACAAAATAAAAAAATAAAATATAGTATTTAAAGAAATAATTAATATGATATATTTTCGGTAAGAAATGGAAAAGAGAATATCTTGATGAATCATCATCAATATAATTGATATAAACTAATGTATAACCAAATTAATGTGAGTGACATAACATGTAATTAATCTAGTAACATAAATCTATTTTTATAACTTTGCTGAAAATGATTATGGTGATGACACATCAGCAAAATGACATCATTGTAATATTTTACAAAATTGAGGTTATTCATTAAAAATGTTTCTCTTTTAATATATAGAGGATGAGAAACTAAAAATATTTTAGTCAAATAAAAAAAACATACGTAAAAATAAATCTGCAAATTTGTTCTTCCGCAAGGGAGAAACGATTGGATTTTCGGAGAATCTGCCGTGGAAGATTCAACTCCGATCATGTTCAGCTAAATCCGTTGAATATATTTGCAGAAGTGAAGCTTCCTTATTTTACCAAAAGAGATTTAAGAATGTAAAGTACTTAAAAAAAGCGATATTTTGTTGCAAATATAGAAGAAACCCTAGAATTAAAATGATGAAGGACACACCTCTTCGACATAATACGCAAATAATATCTTGTCAAATATAGAGATTTTCTGACACACGTCTTTACATATTATTGTATGTATTCACATGAATAGTCACCTCTGAAAAGGTACGTTTTCTATCAGTAATTTTTTAAACTTTCATATCTCTTTGCATTGTAATACAATTACTGATCATATTTTCTCAATGAGAAAAATTCAAAAATTCACCAATAAATATTATATACTGTTAACTTGAATAATGTTGATATTTTAAATTTTAATCTTTATATATTATATACCTAAAAATACTATATGAGTTTTTATATTATTTAAGTTATAATTACTGATCATATTTACTATTAATTTCCCCATTTTTATTGGATTCCATAAAAAGGAAAGAAAGTTAAAATCAAAACATTATAAAAAAATGTAAACTAAGTTGTTCGTTTTTTCTTTTGTAGGAAAAGGGAATCTTGTTCCCCAAGTCTCACTGTCAACAGATTATTCTAAACCTCTCTAGTCGCTGCCTATATATAGAGTTTTGGAAACCGCCTAATTTTATCAGAAATCTTTCTTCTTCATTTTTTCTTCTCTGATCGTTGCAAAAGCTATCCTCTCCCCATGATGACTTGTCCATCAAGTATGTGCGAAGACGTGCTTTTGGATATCATCTCTCATTGTCCCGCCAAGGAGATTTCGAAACTCCGTCTATTAAGCGAAGGCTGCAACAAACGAACTTATGAGTTCTCCTTCATCAACCAACATCTTCATAGAACCAACTCTGTTTTAGGCTATTTTATTCAATACCACAAAAGGTGTCCCCCGAGTTTTGTCTCGAGTGTTGAAGAAGAAGAATCTCCTGAAAACATCGGAATCTCGCTCGAGTTTTTTCCTTCCAAGAATGTGAAGATCGAAGCTTGTGACACACACCATGGGATTTTGCTCTGTGTCGATGATACATTTAAAGGAAGAAGAAGAACACCAGATTACATCGTTTGTAAACCGGCGACGAAACAGTACCGGATTATTCCAAACCCGAAAACCAGGTACTTCACTGTTGCAATCGGTCTGATGGTTATTCAGTCGAACCCGTTTCGGTATAAGATTGTTAGGGTTTCAGAACCAATGCCTTGGGAAAGAAGGAAGACGAAGGATGGTTTTTGTAACCTCAACTGCGAGGTCTTTGATTCTGATTCATTCACGTGGAAACGGCTGAATGATTTGGAATTACCAGGAGACGAGGTTTTCATTAGATCAGGTCAGCCTGTATCAGCATACGGATACTTGCATTGGTTAACATGGAAAAACAATGTGGTTCGGTTCTGTATGCGAACCGAAACTTGGTCTTTCATCCCTGTTCCAGAAGATATAGGAGGCGATGGTTCTCTAGACTTGATCAGCTACGAAGGAAAGCTAGGTGTGATTTGCTCGAATTCGAGACAAGGATATGGTTTATGGGTTTTGGATAGCAGTTTAGGATCATCGTGGGTAAATAGGAAGGATATAGAAATGACGGGGCTAGAAGACAAATATGCAAAACCACTATGGTTTCCAAGTAACGATGTCGTATCAGTGGAGAGCCTTTGTCGGCTTAGCCTCTACAACATGAACAGCAACAAGTCTCGGTATTTGCATATGAAGACTAAAGATCGCTTACCTTACTATTTGCCCAGAAACGTTTGTTTTCCTTTTTATTCCAACTATGAGAGAGTTTGTCTGAATGAAGATCGTGTTGTAAGATCCAACGACTGAGAAAGATAATTATAGTCTCAGTTAAGTTTTTATAACCTTTTTTATAATTAATTAATGTGTCTATTGCATCATTGCTATAGTGAATATGTAATTAGGTTGTTAATGCTGGACTTGAGATTTCAACTTAAATTTGTATATATAAATGTTAAGTTTGACATCCAAAAGAGAAAAAGAATAACAATACATTGTGTTCTCACTTTTTGGTTCGAGCAATCAAATTTGTTACTTAAGATTAGTTTCGGTGTAGGCGTATGCGAAAAACAACACTGAACTAAAAGGAACAAACATTTTTGTACATACAAAATACATCAGCAAATACGAAAGGACATTTCTGCATACATTTTGTCTTATAACCCACCAAACCGGTTTTCTACATACACCTTCCCAAAAACCTACATTAAACCGGTTAACATATTTTCATACAAAATTCATCAACTTCCTTCTTCAGCCGCTTTTGCCTTTTTATACATTTACCAATGTTCCCCTGAAACTGAACCAAACCAAACTAAAACCAGTTAGCAAACACGGTCTGGTTCGGTGTGGTCTAATTTTAGTCTCCTTTCAGGCATTTGTCTTTGCCACTAAATCGTTTTCTACGTATCACCCACTTACTTGCCTTCGCTGATAAGTTGCGCGGTGGCGCTGTTGTGACTGGCCGGACAACAGATGCGGCGACTTCCAGGAGGAAACAGTCTTGGAACATCAGCAGCTTCTGGCCAATCAGAGACTCCCGGAAGCGGATTAAATTCGGCTGCGTAAGCTTGAAGATAACTCTCTGTGCTGTAACACTCATTTACATACTGCAAATGATCAGTGTTGATCCTCCTGCAAACCGCTAAAACGTGCGAACACGGATGCTTGCAAAGCTGCCATATCCCACAAGTGCAAACTCTATCGTTGAGATGAACACGAAACCTCTTCTTCTCATCTGGCACCATCTCCGTCACCGTCACCTCAAACCTCACTCCGGTTGGTTCCGATGGCAATACATCGTGTGTTCTAGAGGCTACATTGTACTCTTCAAGCCTTTTCATGACACGCTCGACGTACTTGTCTCCTCTGTTAACTGATTCGCTGATAAGCCCACGGCTAGATTTCAAAAGCTCTGCCAGGTGATCAAAGATGAGCAAGATGCATGTTGTGACTGGAAGATCAGGAGCTTTGTTTATGAATCCGTAAGTCACAGAGATGGTGTTTGTATTCACGAAACCAAATCTCATCCCGCCAGCATCGTGAGCCAGAGACCATTGATGCGGAGGTATTTTGTCTAACCATTTCCGAGCTTCCGGATTCATTTTCTCAATTTTCTTCAAGTAGGAATCGAAACTTGGTATGTGCGTCGCGACTCCAGCACTGTAAACAAGCTCTGTCATCAGCCTGTTATGGAAAACATCATAGAATTTTCAGCAAAGATGCCTAAGACAGAACCGGTGGTGTTGCGCCCACCGACACTCAGGCTCGTTAACAGCTTCAACTACGTTAGGATCCAGACTCGTTATTAGACAAAGGCCTTCCCTTTGTGTCACTTTCTTTCTGATGCACGCAAAGAACCAACGCCAAGAATCAGCTGACACGCTTTCTTGCGTAACAATTGCAAACGCAAGCGGGAAAATCCGCGTTTCGGCATCACATCCCGCAGCAACCAACATTTTTCCAGCGTGTTTACCGCTCAAGTCAACGGTATCCACCATGATCACAGGTCTCAAGTGTTGAAACCCTTCGATTGACTGATGAAACGCCCAAAACACAGAACGCAAAGATGCGTCTTTGGGATTTGGACAAAGATCATATTGCCAATCCATTACCGTCTTGTTAGATGAGCAAAGGGCAGCCATGAGCTTGGGCAATACGCTAAAACTCTTGTCCGAATCTCCCAAGATTGAAGTGATGGCTTTCTTTTTAGCATTCCACATGTACTCTCGTTGCATCCTAGCAGAGCACAGCTTCACTGCTTTCTTCAGCTCCTCTTTGTCTCTAGACAGCATCCCAACATGCAACTCGCGTTCAACAAGCCATGAACTGGAGAAAATCATCTGCTTCGAGACACCATCGCTGAGGCCTTTCGTTGCAACTGGCTCGTTATTACCACAGTTCACATCATCCCTACTCTCCTCTTCTTCAAGCCACCCATCATTGTTATCTTCCCGAGAATGCTTACCAACACCTCCATCAGAAACCACCGGTTTGACCTCTAGATACAGTTCCAGGCTGTTGATAGAAGAATGATAACTTGGAACCTCGAGCATGGTCTCAAGACTAGAATCATCCACAATGGGCAAGCGAACATACTTCACCATTGGTTGCTGAACAATGCAAGGGTACCTACCAATCAGTTCAAACTGAAACTTTCCTTTTTCAAATCCAGTGACTCGATGCAGATCATCCAACAGTTTCGGTAAATTGGTTTTGCTCTCAACTCTCATCACTCTCGGTCTTGACCCTTCGTAGAATGGACCGTCAGGGCCATCTTTTATGCAGCCATTCCAATAACAGAACACTGGAATCTTTCTTGTACCCATGAAACCTTGACAAAATTCAAAGAGACACGAAATTAATTAAAGATTTGAGTCCAATGAGAAACCCTAGAGCCCAATTTCTTAAAAGATAACAGTAGCAGCAATAACAAGCAATGGAAAACAACAATAAAGGAGAAAGCTTACTAAGAGACAAAGGTGAAATTATAAATAAACCAGATAAAGACATCAACTTTAATTTTTACATAGTGAGAACATTTTGGAATTAGGAGGATAAAGACATCAACTTTAACTTTTACATAGTGAGGGCGGGAAAAGCTCACGGAGAAATAAAATAGATCTGAATAAAAAATACGCAAAGACATGTTCCCGATTTGTGAAACCCTAAAGCTCAATTTCATTTGATGATAGTAGCAGGAACACTATAATAAGATTACGCCATGGAGAAGACAATAAAGTAGAAAGCTTTTTCATAGAGAAAAAAAAGCTCACTTACCCGAAAAGGCATCTCTTCCGCCGTTTGCTTCGGTATTTTGTCGGAAAGGTTGAATTTGTTTTTTAGCTCTCACAGTAACTGTTCTTTTGTTTTATCATCTTCCGGTAATGAAGTAAACGAGTAAGAGAGAGTAAATAAATATCAGAAACTTCCAGAACCTAGTCATTTTCTTTATTTTAATGACGTTTAAAAAACATGCTTTAGTTTTCTCTAATAAATATATTTTCTGTTTGTTTTTTACTTTTTTTAATAGAATGAAATTTGAAAATTTTGTTTTTTCCCGTGGGGTTCCGTTGAATTTTAATTATCTGGTTCGGTTGTTGTAAGTTTGTTTACCTTATCATGAGAAAATTACACTCCCACACACTTTTTAAGTTTAATTTATATGTATATACACTTTCAGTTTTTGGCATAATTTCAGTTTTTCTAAAAATGAAATTACTCTTATCTTACTTTTATTATTTTATTTTCTACCACACGTCAAATTTAAAAAAAAAACTGGATTTACTTACCACAAACAGATCTAAATCTATTCCACCATAAACATATTTGGATTTACTTCACCACAATCATATTTATTCGGCTTCTACCATGATATAGTAAGTAATTTTGTACTTTTAATAATCCTTGAATGGTTTGTCCCTTAACAGGGTTGGTCCTGAGATTTTGGGGGTTTGAAATATTTTATTTTTAAAAACATTGTTATCAACTATATTAATATATGTATCATAAACATAATTTGTTACAGCTAAAAAATTAAATATTAAGAATTTATTTTAAGAATAATTAATTAATTATCTTTTACCACATGTAAAAAATATATGTATGTATATAATATTTATTGGTGATGTAAAAAAATAACAAATATACACATAAAACTAATGTTTACTAGTTAAATAAATAAGTATTACTCAATAAATAAAGTAAACATTATAATTTAAGGATCTAATATATTGTATTTAATTTAGAGACTATAGACAATTGTTTCATTGGGCTGCTCCCAAGACCGGCCATGCCGTATTATGGTCAGAATTCATTGCCACAGTTTACAGATAAAACTTTAAACAATCTTAGTCCACCAATTGGCATCGGAATCAGAAAAATCTCAATTTTAAGTTTTGAATTATAAAATAAAAATTTTGGTTAAAAAACTTTGTTAGACTTTAATAGAAAAGGTTTTAGGTTAGATTATTCTGATTCAATGTAAAAAAAAAAAACAGGTTACAGAAATAAGTACATTGGTACAGCAACATGAACCACATTGCACTAATTTTAGCGTGTAGTATTAGAACAAATAAGAAAAATCAGGTAATAAATCCATGAAAACTCTTACAGAAACCTCACCTTCATAATGACCAAAAGAAAAATCTACACACTATAAAGAAGTGCACATTGTGCATGGGCACATTATTGGAATAATGTTTAAATTTACGCGTAGGAGTCACCCCATAAACTTTGAGGAGTCACCGCGTACACAACAAAAATTTACACAGTATTCCAATTTTCCTTTATTTATAAGAACATAGGACAAAGAAATTACAAGACAAGTTACAAAAAAAAACAAAACCAAAAATGGAGATGATCTGCAAATTATTCGCCGTAGTATTCCTCTCCGTCGTCCTCTACTCCATCCAGGCGAAAGCACAAGGAGGAGACGGTGAAGTGATGAGTTGCCTGCAAAAACTGACGCCGTGTCAGCCGTACATACACACGTTGAATCCGCCGCCACCGCCGTCGTGTTGCGGGCCAGTGAAAGAGATTGTAGAAAAAGAGGCGCCGTCAGTATTCAAAAAGAAAAAAGAGAAGATAGAAAAAAAAAGAAGAAGAAGATAAAAACGAAAAACACGACGTGTTTATGCACCCTTTTAGACAATCCGGCGATACTACAACAACGCAACATCACCAAAGATAACGTTCTTGATCTCTCTAAAGCCTGTAGCGTTAATCCTGACGTCTCAAAATGCACCATAATCGCTTGTAAGTTATCAATCCTCAATTAGTATATATGTAATCAAAACCTCTTATCAAAGCAATTAAGCAAAATGACACTGTTCCATTTGTTTATTTCTTGTTATTAACGAAGCATCTTCTCCCCTTCGCACTGCGTCGCCGGGATCAGCCAGCGGTGAGCATTTGATTTGATGTTACATATTATAGAGAAATATATAAATTAATTACATAAACTCGTATGTTTAAAGTCTAGTAGCACATACAAACGGATACCATATTTTTTGGAGTTAAAAAATAGAGTTCTTTATTGTCGTCAGATTAATTAGAGATAATTGATTCGGGTTTACTTCCAAAATTAATTGATGTGATCTTCTCAATGTAGCAGGAGGCTCTTCCGTTCAAGCTGTTAGTTTCATCGGACTTGTCTTTGCGTCTGCTTTTGCATCTCTAACTGTGAGATACTACTGAAAATTCACTGATATGGTTGCTCTTATATTTAATGTTTCTGTTGTCATCATTTTATATGCTTGCTTGTACCTTAGTGTTTCATTTTTATAGTATATTCTCTAATTAATATAGTTGAATTCTCAATCTTGGTTCTATTTTGGCTGTTGATAAACCTTGATTGATATTGGCAAAAGAAATGGCCTAGCATGATATTACTCTAATTCATAAAAGAATAAAAGATTGTGTAGAGTGTACGTAATCGCATGGACGGTAAAGCTAATAAACATATTAGAGTGTAATTGCATGGTAAACCTAGTTTACAAGTAACACAAATCAAATCATAATAATAAAAATTGTGTTAATTTGCCGAAAGTAAAACAAAAAATTCAACTAAAGCACTGTTAATTTGTTTTAAATACTCATTTCATTTTATGTAATTCCATATATAAAAAAACAGAAAAGTATGGATATCTTAACCCTTATATTCGTTTTTGTAAGACTATATAATAAGCTGGTGTGAGTCATTACTAGACTATATAATAAGCTGGTGTAAGTCATTACTAGACCATCAAATATGAATCTACTACACTTGCTTTCAATGAATTGGATAACTTTAATGTTTTCTAAAACAGTCCAAACAAAACATAACATTATATACAACAACAAAAATAACCCGCAATTTACAGGTTCTGGATGTGAATATATATATCTATGAGCCAACAGGCTTCCCGCAGAGTTTAGGGAAAGGATCTTGCTTGCTTAGAACTACCACTTTGCTCTTGTTAGCCAAATAACCTTTCACTAGGTTCTTGTGTATCAACATCATCATTATACATTTTACCTGCAAAAAATATTTTTCAGAAGTGGTTGGTGAGTTTACAGAATTCATTCTAGAAGGCAAACAGCCAAGAATGGAGTGGGAACATAGAAGAAACCTCGACAAGATCCATGTCCATCCCTAGCCATCTAAGTGCTTTGGCAATCACTTCAAGCTTCAGCTGGTGAGCTCTCGCTGGATCACTCAGCTTCTGGTTGATATAACTGAAACATTGATAACGAGATTATGAAACTACAGTAATCTGAGAATGTAACAATGGATAAATAGCTTGTCTTATCTTAACTACTTCTTACATTTTCTTCATCAGTCTCTGGTAGACCTGGAGCTCCAGCTTTTCCAAGACAAGATACACACCGGACCTCAAGAACCTGATTGATATTAAGTTGCTCAATGCTCATGCACTAGTCTAACACTAGGTCTTAAACAGATAAGTAGAGTCAAATGTCAATATAAACACATACCGATCTTCATGTTCGTCAAGAGCATGTCGGAGAAGCCTGAGATCACCCTTTCGCAGAGCTTGCACGATGTTTATGTACTGGACACATAGAGAAATTGGTTCAACAGAGACACAATATCACCGGCAGATGCGAATATAAGTTCGACATAGAATTGAGGAGAAGTTTAGTAAACAGAAGGGAAGCTGTTACCTCGTGAAGTTTATGGTTTCGCAAGAGCTCATATGTCGGTATGATCCCTATCGAAAGCTTTACGGGTATCAAATACTTCAATATCATCCTGATACACAAAAGCCACATAAGCTCATCAAGCATGAAGCAACGCAACGCAATGCAAGAGTAATGCAATCTAAGAGTAAACCACAGTCATACCTTATATTCCGTTCTTTTTTGGGGTCGCAATATTGTAAGGCATATGATAGCTTTGTGTCAGCCTGCAAGATCGAAAACAGAACACGTCCCTGTCAATATTTCGATAAAATACTACAAAAAATGAACGTTGATTGAACCAGAAAATCTATTTGGTGACGACTCACAGCAGAAAAATTCTCGTTGAAGACTTCTAATCTTCCGGTATAATACATATATGCCACCTTGTCTCTTGTTGGGAATTCCTCAAAGTCAAATATCCGAGCAGTCTCAATACTTCTTATTACACTTCGACAAAGATTGACAGTTCCAAGCTGAAACACATAATTGAGAGACGCATGTTTAGTACTCCAATCAATGGTTGATCATATCACATAAAGAATGAATATCAAACTGTTGAGAGCATTTCACCTTGAAGTAGGTCTTGAACAATTGGCAAGTCACATATAATGCTCCCAATCGTTTTGGGCCTTTGCACTACAGTTTAAAACTACATAAGGAGACAGAAAAAGAAACTCAAGTACACAAAAGTATAAAGATAGATAGACAAGGGCAGCTTACAGCAAGAACTCCGAAAACTTTCATGAGAAGAGATCCAGCCGCTTTCAGTTTTCCGTTAGAGGTCAATTCTTTATCAGCCTGCATTTCCATTGTGAACCAATTATGCTCTCAGAACTCAAAACGCAGAGATATGAGAAACTAAACATATCAAGATTTTTGATGAAAAGTTATTGAATGACTACCATTTCAGCAAGAACTCGAACTTCATAACAAACTACATACAGAGCTTCCAATGCCCAAGCAGATTCCCAGTTACGAAACTCCTGAACAAAGGCGCTGCACACATACATAAGCCACCAAATATCAGACATTGTGAACACAACAAGTATACAACCTGAAATCAAATTTACACATCAATGGAGCAGAGAGGAACAAGAAACTTTACCTGGCGAATTTCTCGAAAGCAATATATGCTTCGACTAGATTCCCAACACGGTAACTTTGTAGAGAAGGAAGCAAATGAGCTAGAATCTCTTCGTGCTCAGAGAATTTATCAGATTGTCTTATCAAACTGCTAGCATCCTGCATCATTCAAAGAGTTAAATTCACTGGATTCAGTCTCTTGAAGCTCTTCATCATAAGAATCTAGCTACCAACTAAGGAAGACTCGCCAGATTACTCAATCCTAAATTTACGCAGACAGTTTCAAGACCTAATTGAAAAATCATACTCATTAAACTCAATCATGGACAGAGATTGTTACCTACAACAACTTTATCACAGACAATTTCAAGCCCTGTATTCAAAATTCACAATTGGAATATCATATACTCTAAATATCCTCGACTACAATGAACCTGAAAAAGCCACAAACTTTGCAAACACAAAGATCAATGCTCTATCGCAGGAACATACTCCTACTGTTTCGAGCCCTAAATTCAAAATTCACACTCATTCGTGAAGCTTTAGGGCCCTAATTAGAACACAACGGAAGCATCCTGGATTGAAACTGAACCTAAAAGCCACAAACTTTTACCAACAACAAACCACAAACTAAACCTACAGTTTCAAAGCTGCTAATTTGCGACATGGGTCTGGATCATACAGATAAAATTTCAGAAAATCAGAGAATTTTATGCACCTGGAAGACGTTGAGTGCGTCGGCGAGTGAGAGAAGAGATGCAGAATTGGAAGAGATAGAGAGGAGATGACAAAGTGTAGAAGAGTCTTGGTACGAAACGGAGTCGCAGAAGCGGTTTAGGTACTCAGTGATTAGCCGATTAGCTTCACCCATGCTAACGTACGCCATTTGTAAGTTTCTGCTCCTTTCTTCTTTGCCTCGCCTTTCTTATTCACAGCACAGAGATTAACGAAATCAAAAGGTCTTGACAAAAAAAATGGAAAACCGAAATCAAAGTCTCGATTTTTTTGGTTTACAAAGACAAAAAGAAATAGAAACTATAAAGATATAGAAACGACGACGTATATATATATATATAGACATCTGAAAAATGGAAAACCGTCTTAGTGGAAAAATGGAAAGTTTTAAACCGTAATGGGCTTGATGCAAATAAGTTGACCTATATTTTAATTGGGCCACTTAAAGGCCTACTGTAATTACAACAACATGTTTAAAAATATATGTAGCCGTTAGGTCCCCCCGTTTTCTCTCTAAAGATATGGTGATTTTAGAAACCCTAAAGCTCGATTTGACACGATGATAGTAACATGGACACAATAATGAAGATAATAAAGGAGAGAGCTTTCTAAAATAGATTAGCTGTTTTCTTAAAAAGATCCTCCAAGATCTTAAAATAGTAAGATCAAACCAACTGTGCGATATTAAATACATTTAACCGGTTACCATCTCTATTTTACAAGCCGAAATTGAAAACATATGACATTTGTAACTCCCGCAACGTATCCTACTTTGTCCATGCATTACATGAGCCACATAAACCAAACTGGTTTTATAAACCCAAAAACCTACATTAAACCGGTTAGCAAATTTCACAAACAAAAAACACCTTCTTCTTTAGCCGCCCTCATGCAAACGTAGTTTTACCTAGACTCAGAATGTAAACATACCATCATCGCAGTTTAGTTCCGTCTAATCTTCTAGGAGGAAAGAGCCTCGGAGTTTCAGAAGCTTCAGGCCAGTCAGAAACTCTCGGAACAGGGTTAAACTCAGCTGCGTAAGCTTCAAGAGAACGTTCTGTATTGTAGAAATCGTTCACATACTGCAAATGGTCAATGTTCAGCCTCTTACAGACTGCTAACATGTGAGAACACGGATACTTGTAAAGCTGCCATATCCCACATGTGCAAACCCGATCGCTGCGATGAACAACAAGTCTTTTATTTCCAGGCTTCATCACTTCCGTGACCTGAAACCTCTCTCCGGTACTGTCTAATGGCAACACATCGTGTGTTCTAATGGCTTCCTTGTACTCTTCAAGCCTTTTCATGACATGTTTCGCATACTTGTCTCCACTGTTCAGTGATTCGCTGAGAAGACGACGCTGAGATATGAAATGCTCTGCCAGGTGATCAAAGATTAGCAAGACGCAAGTTGTGATTGGAAGATCAGGGACATAGTTTATGAAACCGTAAGTCGTGAGGATTAAGTTCGTCTCCATGACTCCGAATCTCATCCCGCCATCATCGTGAGCAAGAGCCCACTGATGCGGAGCCATTTTGTCTAACCATTTTCGAGCCTCCGGATTCATCTCTTGGATTTTCTTCAAGTAGTAATCGAAACTTGAAACGTACCCAGTGGATCCAGCCTTGTAGACAAACTCTGTCATGAGGTTGTTATGGAAAACATCATAAAACTCGAAGCAAAGATGCCAGGATCCATACTTATTATCAGACAAATGCCTTCCCTGCGAGTTACTTTCTCTCTGATGCACGCAAAGAACCAACGCCAAGAATCAGCTGACAACCTTTCTTGGGAGATAACCGCAAACGCAAGCGGAAAAAGTTGGTTTTCGGCATCAAACCCTGCGGCAACTAACAATTTTCCACAGTATTTACCGCTCAGGTCAACTGTATCCACTATGATCACAGGTCTGCAGTAAGGAAACCCTTCGACTGACTGCTGAAACGCCCAAAACACAGAACGAAAGGATGCGTCTTTGGGATCAGGGAGAGAATCATATCGCCAGTCCAAACGGATCTTATTAGATGAGCAAAGGGCAGCCATGAACTTGGGCAATACGCTGAAACTCTTGTCCAAATCTCCCGAGATTGCAATGGTTGCTTTCTTTTTAGCATCCCACAAGGTAGAACGCGAGACTGTGTAGCCAAACTCTTCTTTCACCCACTTAGTCAACTCTGCAGTTGGAAGCGAGGGCCGTTCCCTGATTAGGCATTCAATTTCACCTGCCAGAAAATCTGCGCCCACGTCTCCTGGCTCACATGTATGTGGACCTCTGTATTCTGTTATCTTGTAGCGCATTCCCTCTGTTTTATCTGCCCTGAGAGTCCATCCGCATGGTTTCCTTAAGCAGTGTACCCTGAAAAAATAAGATAAAGATATCCCTTCATAATACTCTCGTTGCCTTCTACAAGAGTACAGCTTCACAGCTTTCTCGAGCTCGTCTTTATCTTTGAAAAGCATCCCAACACGCAACTCATGTTCATCAAGCCATGAACTAGAGAAAATCAATTGCTTTGAAACACTGTCGCTGGGATTTTTCATATTCACACTCTTTTGAACAGCCTCATTATTACCACCGTTACCACAGTTTCTGTCATATGTGCTCTCCTCGTCTTCCATCCACCCGTTATTGTTATCTTTCTGCAGAGTTCTTCTTGACGTGTTACCTCTCACACTCACATTCACATCTGCATCCTCTTGCCGAGAACGCTTTCGCATCGCCTGATTTGCCAAGGAGCTACCAAGTGGACCAGCAACTCCATCAGAAACCAACGGTTTGACCTCTAGATACATCTCCACATTGGTGATGGAAGGATGATAACTTGGAACCTCGAGCATGGTCTCAAGACTAGAATCATCCACAACGGGCAAACGAACATACTTCACCATTGGTTGCTGAACAATGCAAGGGTACCTACCAATCATCTCAAACTGAAACTTTCCTTTTTCAAACCTAGTGACTCGATGCAGATCATCCAACAGTTTCGGTAGATTGGTTTTGCTCTCAACTCTCATCACTCTCGGACTTGACCCTTCGTAGAATGGACCATCAGGGCCATCTTTTATGCAGCCATTCCAATAACAGAACACTGGAATCTTTCTTGTATCCATGAAACCTTGAGAAAATTCAAAGAGACACGAAATTAACTAAGGATTTGAGTCCAATGAGAAACCCTAGAGCTCAATTTCATAAAAGATAACAGTAGCAGCAATAACAAGCAATGGAAAACAACAATAAAGGAGAAAGCTTACTAAGAGACGAAGGCGATTATAGATAAACCAGATAAAAACATCAACTTTAATTTTTACATGGTGAGAACATTTTGGAATTAGGAGGATAAAGACATCAACTTTAATTTTTACATAGTGAGGGCGGGAAAAGCTCACGGAGAAATAATATAGGCATGTATCAAAAATACCCATAGCCATGTTCGTGAACCCTAAAGCTCAATTTCATATGATAGTAGTAGTCTAGTAGAAGAATCACTATACAATAAGAATACGCCATTGTCGATGTGACTTCAGCAGACATCTTTGGTTTAGAAAGAAATATTCGATAGAATAATCGAGATACTTAGGTCAAAGAAAGAGATCAAGGAAACGATAGAAGAACAGAGGCAAGAGAATCAAATGAACCTAAAATTTTAGGTTTAGCTCTGATACCATGACAAGAAACCTAGCTTTGTGTAAAGGTTTTCTTGTGTCTGTAGATGTAAAGGCCATGCCTTATATACAAGTCGAAGACCTAAATGTCTTATGTAATTTACGAAATTATACATAAGTATATAAGATTTGCAAAGTAGATCCTCATATTCTCCAATATCACTTACCCGAAAAGCAGTTCTTCTGCCGTTGGCTCCGGTGATTTCGTCGGGAAGGAAATGTTTTTTCTTATCTCTCCCAGTAACTTTTTTTTTTCTCGGTAACGACGTTTCTATTGTAAAGTGTAAGAAGAGTCGATAAATATCAGAAACTTACAGAGTCATCTCTCTCTAATAGATATATATTTTCTGTATGTTTTTTTTTTTTTTTTAGGAATCTGAAGTAATGGTTTTTTTCCCAATGGAATCTTGTTGAATTTTAATCATCTGGTTCAGTTGTTACCGTATAATACGTGGAGAGTCATGGAGCAAATATGGTATGCAAGACCTAAGAGATTATGCGAGTAACATCACGAGTACTACTTCTCTGTGCAAAAGACATAAGACAAAAGACATCTCGCATACTATTGTGAAGAGATACTACTTCTATCTCTCAGAAGCACAACGTTCAAGAAAGCTTCCAATTTCAGTAGAGAGAATGAACATATCGTACAGACGCTTCAGACAGAAAAAAAAAAACCAGTAGACATTCCAACTTTTTTATTTAAAGTTAAGAAGAAGAAGAAGAAGAAAAAGAAGAGAGCAAGTTTGAAAACATAATCTGTTGCTGAAGCAAACAAATGTTAGCCCATGGCATACTTCTGAGTCCAGTTTCTTGCAGTAGCCTCGTACTTGGCTCTGTCGGTTTTGTACATGTGTGCAATCTCCGGCACCAACGGGTCATCTGGGTTTGGATCCGTTAACAGCGAACATATCGACAGCAAGACCTAGCAATTGCATAATCATTCCATGCAAGTTAAAGAGCAGCTAAAACAATATTCTAGATGATGTAAGTTAAAGAGCAGCAACATGCAAGTTAAAGAGCAGCAACATGCAAGTTAAAGAGACCAATGTTGTTAGTGTGAAATGAAAGCAATTTCACATATCGAGAGCAAGGCCTTGCAATTGCATGATCATATCATTAGAGCAGGCTAAGAAATGTAGATGATAATAAACAAACATTCAAGAACCAGGGTTTGGGACAGAGGCTAACAAGTGCCATGGAAATTACAAGTTGAGTCAGCTAAAAATGTAGACCTCGATCTTACTATAAATCTGGAACATAAACGAACATTCAAGAACTGATGTTTGTGAAAGAAGAGACTCACCTTGGAAATGGTGAGAGCTGGGCTCCATTGTTCTTTCAGAATGTCGAGGCAAATGCTTCCGTTGCTGTTGATATTAGGGTGAAACACCTTTGTCCTAAATGCAACCTACAATAGAAACAACACAGAAACGTGCCAAGTTTTAAGGAAACTAAAAATGAAGTTGATTTGATTTGGGAGACAATACAAAAGAGTAGAATACCACAGAGCAAGTTCGAAGTACTTTGGAGAAATGCTTAACATTAGATACCTTTGGTGGTTTGAATGGATAATCTGGAGGGAAGTGAATGGTGACGAGGAACACACCGCCTGCATATGGACTCTCTGCAGGACCCATTATTGTAGCTTGCCAATGAAACATGTCTTCAGCAACTGGACCTGGAATCCCCTCCAATTTGTTCATAGCAACCCACATGAGTTTAGTCTATTACTCAATTAATACGTACTAAGATTAGTTTTAGAAACTTAGATAACAAGCTCAAACCTAAGCAAGAATGCTACAAAGCAAAGTTATGACTCTAAGCAATAACAATAAGAACAAGAATTTTGCAAATTTGATCAAAAAACTTACATTTCTCAATTTGTTAATAAACAACCCATATGGGTTTAGTCTTTGATTCAACTAGTAAACTGAGATCAATTTTAAATAAAGAAAGACAAATTTTAAGCACCGCATAACAAAGAAGGATTCTACATTTCTGAACTTACTAATGTTATCCTCTTACTCTAATTAGTCTGATATATAGAGAAACCTAAACATATGACATAAGCTCTACATAACCGAAGAAATTAAGAAAAACTATGATCTATGAGCAAATAAATGGATCAAACAAAAAGAAGAAGAATCTGCGATTTCACACTAACCCGCACTGCAGGAGGTTGGAGGGTCCTTCTGGAGATCCTTCAGCTCCTTCAAGATCCGTTTCGACGCCATTTCCGCACTGAAAAATCACTAAGAAGATAAATCCAAGTTAACCCTAGATCGATCCAGCTAAAAAATGATTCGAATCCGGAAAACTTTCCAATCTGATTGGGTCGAACTATAGGAGAAAGTGTTGAATTTCATCTAGAGAAATTCATCTATTTCTCTTGTGGGTTAATCTAAAGGAAAAAGATTTACCTCAGAAAGATCCTCCAAACTCGATTAACGATTCGCTCCTGCAGATGCTTACGAGAGAGCACTCTTTAAAAGAAGAAAAACGAAAGAGAAAGTTTGGGTTTTTATGCTAGAAGAAAGAGAGAGAATATTTTCATTGGATAAAATATGTTATTTTCCCACTTTTTTTATTATATATGGCTTCTTAGGAAATATCTGTAGAAATAAATAGAGTATGAATGGTTAGAGACAAAGTATATGATATGCTTAAGAATAATAAAATATAAAGCGATGGGCTATATTTCACTTGACCCCACTTAGATTCCGATGATTCTGAATCATGATGGATTTTAAATTATCAATTATCTTTTTGGTACATATTCGCTCTATTTTCCTGATTAAAAAATATAGCCAAGTAGAGGTATAAACGGTTGAATAATTCGGTAAGAAATAAACAAACAATGAAACAATCATAATCTAGTGAATTTTTATTATTTAATGTAGCTTTAAACGTTGTAATCACGAAAATGTAATGTCATATTGCGGTCATCATGTCGTCGTAGTGAGATTGTATTACTTGCAAATGACTTGAAGGATAAGGTCAAACAAAATAAACAATAATCATGAGTTTTTTGTTTTGTTAAAGCAATAATCATGAGTTAGTTATCAACAAATGATAAAATAGGCAAGTGATAAAGATGATTCTTGTAGAAATACATAATGGTGGGTGTAGATTTTTCATAGTGAATCAAAAGTTATTCAAGAAAGCTTAAGTTTTTTCTTAATATTTATTTTCAAGAATTTGTTTGACAATTTTGACGAAAAAGATATTTGATAAAAACGATAATTATAGGTTGGGCACAACTAATTCGAATTCCCAAGTAATGTGTAAGAGCCAATCATTGTCCCAAGTGAGCAAAAGTCAAATACATGTAGAAGTAAACAAAAAAAGCAAATACAGTTTAAGATTATTTACACTTTGCTTATATTTTTCAATATTCTTAAAATTTATGGTAATTTGGATATATTTTATTTTTGAAGATAGCAATCGACATTATTCACCACATATAGACACTAATCAAACTAATCATTAATCTTACTGAATTAAATGTGAAAACTGTAATTAAGTTAATATAATATCGAAGAGAGGGAAAAAAATTATATAAGAAGTTGGAACTATTTGTATGCTGTGGAGACTTCAACGCTAATCTCCTTTATATAAAACTAGAGATAAGTCCGCGCTACGCGCGGATTAATTTAATATGTAATCTTTCATTATTTTTGTAAAAAGAAAATGAAGATTCCACTATAATTGTAAAAGGAGTAATTTTCATGAGTAGATGAGGATGGTAAAGTTTTATAATTTGATCATATCTACATCATCAGAAACTATAACTAATATCAAAATTTTTAATTTTAAAAGCTTAAAGGTTCTCGATGCTTTTACTATTAGCCCCAGCTTTTAGCTCTGAAAAACAAATTGATATGGAACTGGAAAAAAAAAAACAAAACAAAACACAGAGCTAATATGAAATTTTTATATTTTTAAATTTCAATCCATATTTTTACATCAAAACACAGATCATTATCTTGAGCGTAACAGAAACCTTTCAAAATAGGAAGTTATACCACGTGCAAGGTTTATAAAGTTGACTCCACCTCTGTTTGTTACAGGAAAAAAATATTCTTTAGCTTTCTTTGAGAACTCGTATCAGTGTATAGATTTATTTATTATTTTATTTTAAAAGCATTTTATTATAGTAATATTTGTGATTTTCTGAATCCAAAAGCAATGATATGTTCATGGAATATAGAAACACATAAATTATAAGTTGAGCTATTCAACTTAAGATCTTGACTTTGGTGAAAAAGGCAAAACATGTCTTTAACAGTATAAGTTATATCACTCTTTTGTTGTTTACGATGTTTTTTCTTTAGAAGTTGTCAGTTTATAGCTAGATAGATGTACATATTTATACAATTAGCTCATTATGAAGTTGTTAGTCAGTATACACGATCCAATTACAAAAAAAACTTCCTAATTTGATATAATAGTTTTGTTCTACAAATGTTCTTAACTTAATGGTTCATACATGTTTCAATAATAGAGTTTTCATTCTTGAAGTAAATATTCAAATGTTACTCTATTAAACAAAAACAAAAAACAAAAAAAAAACTATGAATACTTGTTTCCGTGTTCCTTTGTGCTGTCATCACATTGAAAAAGAACTTAAAAATTTGCACCAACACATCTGTATTGACTCTTAAAGCTTAAAATTCTTTCTCACCACTGATTTCCTCGCACGAATAAGTTACAACGCTTTTGTTTTCTAGGTAACCATTCACCAGCATAGAGATAGCTTGTCCTCATTGGACCAGCCATACTAAATCTTCAATGCCCAATTTGCATCTAACCGCCTGATCTTCTTTATTGCCAAACCTTACCCGATCACTGTTATCGGGTTGTGACACTAAAGAAAATTACTTCCACGAACAAATTAGTATGAGCATGTCAGCCTTCTATATTGGGTTTGAGACACCAAATGAATATATAATACTATTAAACCGTGACACTGGAAAAGACAAGAGAAGGGTATTGCACACTCATCAAGAAGGTATTTCCGAATCAGAGTCGGTAGGGTGTTCCCACCGTTTGTCTACACTTTTTAACAAAAAAATATTAAATCTGTAGCAACTATGCATTCATAGGGAGAAATCCAAATAAATATAATTATTGAACAATAATGAAATAAATACTCTAATCGTGTTAAAGTTTTCTAGTAGTACCAGACCACTATTCATAGAAAAAATGAACTTGGGGTAAGACCTCAGTCTTCTGGAACTGGTTCAGATAGCAAAAACAACCTAAGACATGATAGTTAAAAGTTAAAATCAACATTCATGAATGTTTCTAATTAAAGCTCAGAAAACAGTGTGTAAATCTTAAATGCACGTTATTCAATTCAACACAGTTAAAAACATAGCAGCTCATTACACTACTCCCAGCCTTAATCATAAGGATTGGAAAAATATTAAGAAAGGCAATGATAAAAAATCCAACAGCAAAGATTGACATCCATGTCTCTTGCTAATGTCATGATGTGAACTATATATTTATTGAACATACTCTAGCAAAAAAATGACGAATCACTATATATCAAAACCCAAATCAGAGAAGTGTATATATATGTCTCGACCAAATCAAACTCCCATCTTTATGCTAGAAGACAAATTGGCCAGCCAAAACAGAGAAATAGTAAAGGTTCGTATGCAAAAACATAAGCCTGAAGAAAATGAACAAAGCTTCAATCAGAATATTACAGAAGAGCAAACCTTAAGTTCCAACTGATAAACGATTTCTGGCCGACCACCAAACCGACATCGCCCAGATGACCTCCATGGGTGTTTAATCAACTCGACCAGCGACTTTATCCTTTTTAAAAGAGTTTGATTGTGGTTCGTCATCATCATCGTTCCATCTAAACATAAATACATCTCAAACGAAACGACAAAGATTCTCTGATCTAGGTGGGGTGATTCGATCAGAGAATATTTCGGACAATGTTTCAACAACTCATCTATTTGCCACACTAATGATATAGTGCATGAAAATCAAAAACATTCATCACCATAGCTTTGCTTGATTCTCTGATCTCTGCGACTCTGCCTAGTTTTTTTCCAGCTTTCATCTCTTTTGGTGGGGTTTTAATTCTCTGAACTTGATTCTCCATTGACGTTTTAACTTTGTTATTACTCTCTCGGTCTTCTTTGAATCATATGATTTGGGTGGGAGTACTTCAAGGGATTCTGTTTTGTCCATGACGATTGAGCAACTGAAAGAGGAAGAGGAACTTATTTTATTTAATGAGATTCATTAGTTTAGGATGTTAAACGAAGATGTTAAAACGAAAGATTTAACATACGTGAGTTGTTGAGACAGATTAAACGATTAGACTTCTTCTCTCATTATAAGTTTTGGGAAATTTTGAAATTTAATTATTAGTTAGTAAATCTATAATAACATTTTTGAACTGTATAAGAAGAGTTTGACTTAGATTGCTGATGTGGCTTCTTTTTACAGTATTGTTTAGAGCTGATGTGGCTTCATTTTAAAGTAGTGTTTAGAGCTGAGGTGGATAGCTTGAGGAGCCCCAAACAGCTCCTTTTATTTAGTATAGATGGATAGATTTTCTGCTCTTTAAGAGGTGCTACATAGACAAAAATAATCACCAAAATAATCAGCCAATAAAAATATAACAAATTATCACATTGTTAAATTATATCATAGTATCTATCTTGCCTCTACAGCCTAAAAAAAACTTGCAACAAATCAATATCAACACAAATTTAAACAAAAGAAAAACTAAAAATTTAATAATTAATATTTAAGAAAACATATTGGTTTTTGGTTTGGTTTGGTTTAAAACCGAACCGAACTATTCGGGTTGATAGAAATCTCAACCAAAATGTTTTGATATAGACTTCGGTTCGGTTTAATTCGGTTCGGTTTGATTCGGTTCGGGTTCGATTGGTTTGGGTTAATTCACTTCGGTTGAATTTTTTTGCCCATCCCTAGAAAAACTGAAGTAAAAACCTAACTAAAGAACCGGTGAATAAAGACAGTTACTCACCGTTTCTTAATTTTTATTTGCAAAATTTCATGAAACATAAAACTGAAAATATTTTTCTCAAATAACATATAACGATAAATTCCACACTCTTCATCAATATTGGCAAATGATTGAGCTAGCTAAACTATCAAACAAATATTATATCAATTAATAAAGAACTCATATAATAAAGAAGTTTATTATTAATTGTCATTTGTTTTCTTCGTTGAATATATGAACTAATTATAAACATCTATGGACATACTGAATCTTAAAAAATTGATAAGTAGAGAAATGCATACTATATGAAAATTAAAAACTAAATCCTAAGATACAATATGAAACAAAAATGGAGTAAGGATAATTTTTCTTTTTAAAAGCATCAAGCGAAATGGAAGCTTATGCAGAATATTTTTGAAAGTATAAAAAATCATGGTGTTCACTAAAGAAATAGCATTATAACATAAGATGTCTAAATTTAGACAATAGATTTCTAATATAATATATAGTTCATGTGGATACTATTTACATAAACAAAAAATATAACAAAATTACAAATCAAATTATTATACAAAAACCCTTCATATTTGCAAAAACATGCATTAACTCTTAAAAAAAAGTTTAACTAAGCCAAAAGGTATATTAATCTACTTTCAAATTATTATACAAAAATTTCGATCATCTTTTCACATATATATATATATATATACATCTGATACTTATTTTGCTCGATTATATCTAAGAATCACATACAACTATACTACTCTATAATTTATCACAATATTAAATACAAAATTAATTGACAACTTTTTATAAAACTATAATATAATTATACAACTCACACGTAGCGTGGATAAAACACTAGTTTCAAAAAAAGTTTCAGTTTGGACTCTTTTGCTTTCTTTGATATTCATGTGCAAAAAAGGTTCAAATGTGTAGTAATCAAAGAAGGAATTTGATCTGAGATTGTTAAATGCCATTAACGAATGTAACACATTTTTGTTTCTGTAGTTGTTTTCATACCAGCAACTTTGTGAATGAGGTTGAATGGACCAGAACCATGACATGAAATCTTGAGGAACCTGAGCTAAGATGCATCTATGTGACTTGATTGCCAAGTAGCATCAAGAGAAAGACCAATGGATTGATTCAGTAGTTACCACAAATCAGGATAATATGTAAACGAATATTACCAAGAATATTCAAGATAAGATCATGTGTACTTATAACCGGAGGTGTAGTCTGTAGAGATTTCTGCCATTTTCTTCTATGATGCTTCTTGCTTCTCTCCCCTTACCTCTGTATTTATGCTTCAAATATCAAAAATAGGATTGAGAATCATTTTGGTTTCTATTTTTTTATAACAATTAAATGTGTTTAGAATGTTTTTTAGTGTATTGTTGAAAAATATGTTTATTTTTTAAAATATTTATAACAAAACTAATCAGTAACAAAATCTAAATATATTCAAGTTCGAATATCAACAATCCCAAATCTTATTAAAGAGTACACACTTTCCAAAATTTATAATTATATTCAAGAATAATTACATTTTAATTTATTTCATTCTTGTATTTTTGAAGTAACAATATTCACAGCATCTATGAAAAACTAATTACGATAACATAGGAATAAGTTGGAACCCTCTGTATCATCCGGAGACTTCAACGCTGACTTTAAAGAGGGCTTTAGGGTTGTGGCTAGTACGATCAAAAATCTCCGCAACCGAATCAGAGCTAGAAGCTCTACAGATACTTACGGCAGAGAGAAAAGGAGAGAAACTCTGAGATCGAAATCCATGGATTCTACCATATCGTTGAAGCTCAAAGGAAAAGGGAAAGGATCAAAGGGAGCTTCCTCTTCGAGTGCGAAACCGAAGTTGCAGCTCTTGAAGGAATGGAGCAATTGGTCACTGAAGAAGGCGAAAGTCGCGACTCACTACGGATTCATCCCTCTGATCATCATCGTCGGCATGAACTCCGATCCGAAGCCCCACCTCTTTCAGCTCCTTAGCCCCGTCTGATCCTTCAATTTCATCACCGTCGAAGCCAGATCAATCGATCCTTCCCCGATCTTCTCCGGTTTGGCTTCATGTCTTTACGCCTCGTCTTGGATTCGCCGAATCTTCTTTATGTTTTCCATTAGCTAGTTTTTCTTTTTACGAGTTTCGAATGCTTTCTCTATCGTTCTATTACTCTCTGTATGAAATCGAATTTATGTTTTGAATCTATGTTTCATGGGAAATTCTTATTTCAAAGTTTCGTTTCTCAACAAAGTTCATATACAAATTTCAATCAGCAATGATCGAAATAATGCTTTGACGAATTTGATTTGGAAAATTGAAAAGTTTGAAACTTTGAACTATGTAGCAAGAGTGTTTGTTTCTCCCTCTGCATCAAGTATTCGAACGCCTTGTATCATTTTCAAAACATGTGCTATATGAGGTCGATCTTGAGGTTTCAAGGCAACACAAGCCAAACCTATCTGCAACATCTCAACCAACTCTTCCTCTATACCCACTTGCCTCATAAGCTCGACGTCGAATACTTCTCCGGTCCACTCTTTCGACACCACCGATCTTATCCAGCACGCCAAGTCCATGTCCTCGTCTTGCTTTGATGGCGGACTCGCTGGAGATTTCCCCGTTAGAAGCTCGAGCAACACCACCCCGAAGCTGTATACATCAGAGAACTGTGTGCACTTCCTTGTGTCTGTTGTCTCAGGAGCATGGTAACCGGAAGAACGAATGGTTCCCTGAGGGAGAGACCTCGTGATGCGCGACAAGCCGAGATCGCAGACGCAGCCATTGCATCGCGAGTCAATGAAGATGTTGGAGGACTTGATGTTCCCGTGGACAAACCTCCCGTCGTCTGCTTCGTGGATAGTAGCTAACCCTCTTGCCGCACCAATGACTACTCTTAACCGAGAATCCCAATCTAAAGGTACTCTGTTTTCTCCTTTAGTTCCTGCGATAGTTGAGTTGAGACTAGACGAAAGGAACGTGTAGACCAAAGGGAGTATAGAGATAACATACCGTGTAGCATATCGAAGAGGTTGCCTTGACTGTAATAGCTGTAAACAGCGAGCTTATCGTTCTTGGAATAGTAGTAAGCTTTTAGCTCAGCTACATTATCATGTCGGATTCTACCAACGATCTCCATTGTTTGCTCAAACTCTCTTCTTCCCACAACCACATCCTCCAGTCTCTTCACTACTACCGTGGCCGTGTCCTCCACGGCTACTTTGTAGGTTGAACCAGAAGCACCTTTCCCCAACATTTCAGCAGATGCAGCCAACAAATCATCCAAATCAAAGGTATAGTTACTTCCTCCAAAGAAGATGATTTTGCCTTCGTCGTCGTCGTCCTCTGGTGCCCAGTTACCAGAAGGAGATGGGTCTCTGTTCTTCGACCTCCATGAGAGCCTAGCTTTCACGCGCCGCTTCTTCCGCAAGAAACAAGCCATCATCGTAGCCAGAAGAATCAACAGGAAAGCAATCAGTTTGACAAATGTATTTACGTCTGACACTAGAAAGATCAAGATTTGATCTTCTTCTCCAAGGCTCAAAGCTTGGTCAGACCCGGTAGAGAGAGCTTAGGGGTGAATTCATTGTTATCCTCGAGATTGAGATGTGACAAGACTCGTCGGTTTGCGCTGCAACCGGCTATGATCCGGTCTGGATTTGCGCTGCAGATCACTCGGTTCAGAGACAAACCGATGAGCTGACTTTCCAAATAGAGGTAGAAAATACAAATATTGTCAAGAAATCATTGAAAGAGCGGTTGTAATAATCGTCTTCAACGAGCTCTCCGTTTCCCACTGAGAGAATTGAAAACGGAGCAAAAAAGTCCAAAAAGAAATCTCCATTGGCAGAGACAAGTCTCGTCTTTATCTAAAACACAAAATAGGTGATGTCTCTATCTGTAACAGAGAGAATCTTCTGTAACAGGAGAAATTTAATTTTTTTTTAGTCAAAAAGATAAATTTAAAATGCGAATAAAAATGATACGCTGAGTCGGTAAGCCGGCAAAGATCTTCGTTATAGTATTATCTTAACTGGGACAAGCATGGCAGCCGCCGCAAACACAACGTGATCGTGTTTTTTCTTCCATTAGATTGAGTCGCAGACAGAAATTTTCCCAAATTTAATTCTCTCTAACCATCTTCGTTTACGTTAATTTATATATATATATAACCCTATTCTTGAATCGACCAAGCAGAGTGGCGCAGCGGAAGCGTGGTGGGCCCATAACCCACAGGTCCCAGGATCGAAACCTGGCTCTGCTAATTCTTTTTTCTTTTTTACTTTTTCAAAAGTCAGAGGTCCACCGTATATAGCTGCTCCGGTCCACATACGACAATCCTCGCTATTATCGGAGAAGAAAGAAAGTGTCTCCGGTGAAGATGAACGACGCCGATTATATCCTAGAAAGTGAGATTTTTAAGTAAATTTCTACGCTGATCTCTTCTCTCATATGCTTTGAAAATTTGAGGCTTCAACGGAGCAGAGTGGCGCAGCGGAAGCGTGGTGGGCCCATAACCCACAGGTCCCAGGATCGAAACCTGGCTCTGCTAATTCTTTTTTCGGTTTATAAAAGTCAAAGGTCCACCGTAGTGAGCTGCTCCAGTCCACATGCGATAACCCTCTCTCGTCTGTTTTTTTTAATTGCTCATAACTTCACAGTTTATCGGAGAAGAAAGTATCTCCGGTAAAGATGAACGACGCCGATTATATCCTAGAAGGTGAGATTTTTAAGCAAATATCCACGCTGATCTCTTTCCTCATCTTCTTTGGTAAATTTTGATGCGATTTCACGGATATTCCATTACAGTAATTGTAGCCGGTTGAGATCTCTTTTGTTTACTTACCCTTTGATAGTTCACTTGTGTTAATCTTTGGATCTTTGTTCATCTCCTCGATTCTATTTGGTTTCATCAATTTTATTTACTGCATCTTCTTCTTCTATTACAAACCCTCAGAACTGGCTCTGAGTCTCTCTCACTGGCAAGTTTGTGGAATTGCTTTAAGTGGGCTTGATGGGAACCATAGACCTTAGCGCTCCCTGCAGCTGAAAACCCCATTGAGGATCTCAGCAATCATGTCCACCACCTCCCTTGCTGCATTCGATTCGACGGTCCTGCTCAAGTTTCCCACTGTTTCAAGTCTAAATCCATTGGTGAGAGAAACATACTATATGTTTATTTGTACTTCTTCACTTGTATTTTTTATGTAGCGAGAGAAATATTAGAAAGCTGTTCAAGTGTAGATATTGAAATTGATGGAGTAAGAATAGAAGAAGCTCATTTCAGAGGAAGAAAGTTGCAAGGAGCAACTATCTCACTCCCTAGTGGCTATTCTGGTACTCTCTTTTATTCATGTCTCTTCTTTCTAAGTGGTGAAAAGGTGAAAACTTTTGGATTTCTTGTGGTTATTTCTTAGGATTGTGGGGATTAAATGAACAAAAAGTGTCTTAGTTTGTGAGTTTTGAGACGATTTATCTATGATGTCTTCATGAATCTGCTACAATGATGGAGTAGTGTGGGAGTTACACTTAATGGGTTTGTGTTTTGAGTACCGAGAAACTGCGTTTTGGTGACTCACATCACATCAGGTTACATACTTGGACAGGGGGGTAATCCGAATGCTAATGGAAAGAGAAGAGCTTTCTCTAGTTCCACTGAAGAGGACCCGTGTTGCGAAGTGAAGGCGAAATTCGAAAAACTGACACACTGGAATCACGATAGCTTTCCTTCAAAAGACGATATTTTCTTGCGGTCATTTCATTGGTTTAGCATTGCAGAAGCGGTGAGTGTGAACTACAGTTCTGTCTCCTCCTTTGCTGGCTCATGGTTCTGTTCCTAACTTGCTTGACAACGTTCCTTTGAATGTAGCTGCACAAGCCAGTGAAAGTTGAAGACTTGGTTGCAGTATCATATGGTGAAAAGGGTTGACTTTTAAAACTGGGCTATGTAAAGGAACCAAATACGTTCAGGTCAGTGGCAATCACGCGCATCTACTTGATTCTTGTGACTCAATTCAGCTAAACTATGAGACATAGATGAGTATATGATCTTATGATCGAAACAAATATCCACAAGTCAGCAAAATATGAACTTGTTCTGTAGTAACAGTGATGGCTTCTCGTGATGGAAAAGTTTGCGAGGCTAGAGGTTGCATCCTACAAGAAGCTTACACTAGCTGCTGCATTCACTTTCGTCCAAAAACTTGACCAAAAGAAAATCTTTTGCTTTTTTTTTTTAGGTTCTGTTTGCTCCAGAGATCTTTCTATCAATCGTTTTCAACAAATTTTGTTGCTGTTGTTTTCAAATTGTGTTAAGAGAAATGCACTTTAGTCAATGATACAAGTCAAAGACTCAACAAACCAACGAAGCAAATAAAAAAATTTGATTGGAAATTTCATTTCACTTATTTGGTTTGGTTTGGTTTGGTTTGGTTTAGATCGGACCCAACTTGATTTGGTTTGGTTTAGATCGGACCCACCTTGATTTGGTTGATCAATACTATTATAAAAAAAAAAAAACGGCGTCGTTGGAGTCATCAGCTTCTACGTTTTCACCTAACAAAACGAGATTCAACTCTTCACCAGTTTGTTTAGTCGCCTTTGTTTGTCTCTTGGCTCCATCGACGAGTCCGTCACTTTCGCCGTATAAATATCTCCGTCACTCTCTCTCCTTCTCTCCTATCACCGAACTCTGTCAGAAACCCTAAACTCTCCCTCCCACTCTCTCTCTAATGGAGTCCGTCGCTCTATCCCGCATTGGCCTCGCCGGTCTCGCCGTCATGGGGCAGAACCTCGCCTTGAACATCGCCGATAAAGGGTTCCCGATCTCCGTCTACAATCGAACCACCTCCAAAGTCGACGAGACCCTAGATCGTGCCGCCGAAGAAGGGAAGCTCCCAGTGGCCGGGCAATACTCGCCTCGCGATTTCGTCCTCTCGATTCAAAAGCCTAGATCCGTCATCATCCTCGTCAAAGCTGGAGCTCCCGTTGACCAGACAATCGCCGCGCTCTCCGAGTACATGGAGCCTGGGGATTGCATCATCGACGGCGGAAACGAGTGGTATCAGAACACGGAGCGTCGAATCGTCGAGGCGGAGCAGAAAGGATTGCTCTATTTGGGCATGGGGGTCTCCGGAGGCGAGGAAGGAGCTCGAAACGGACCTTCGCTCATGCCCGGCGGATCTCTCCAGGCGTACAACAACATCAAGGATATTCTCGGGAAAGTCGCCGCTCAAGTGGAGGATGGTCCTTGCGTGACGTACATCGGAGAAGGCGGATCCGGGAATTTCGTGAAAATGGTTCACAACGGGATCGAGTACGGCGATATGCAGCTGATCTCGGAGGCTTACGACGTGCTGAAGAACGTCGGAGGTCTGAGCAACGACGAGCTCGCGGAGATCTTCACGGAGTGGAACCGAGGTGAGCTTGAGAGCTTCTTGGTTGAGATTACTTCGGATATATTTAGGGTTAAGGATGAGTTTGGTGACGGAGAGTTAGTGGATAAGATTTTGGATAAGACTGGTATGAAAGGCACCGGAAAATGGACAGTTCAGCAGGCGGCCGAGCTCTCTGTGGCGGCGCCGACCATTGCTGCGTCGCTGGACTGTAGATACTTGAGTGGATTGAAAGACGAGAGGGAAAACGCTGCCAAAGTGCTGCAAGAAGCTGGGCTGAAGGAAGATCTTGGCTCTGCGTCTCATGGAATCGATAAGAAGAGGCTCATCGATGATGTGAGGCAGGCTTTGTACGCTTCGAAAATCTGTAGTTACGCGCAAGGGATGAATCTGCTTAGAGCCAAGAGCTTAGAGAAAGAGTGGAACTTGAATCTGGGCGAGATGGCTCGGATCTGGAAAGGCGGGTGTATCATCAGGGCGGTCTTCTTGGACAGGATCAAGAAAGCTTACCAGAGAAACCCGAACCTGGCGAGCTTAGTGGTTGATCCTGATTTCGCAAAGGAGATGGTTCAGAGGCAAGCAGCGTGGAGGAGAGTCGTGGGTTTAGCCATCTCTGCTGGGATAAGCACACCGGGGATGTGCGCAAGTCTTGCGTATTTCGACACGTACAGGCGTGCTAGATTGCCTGCGAATCTGGTTCAGGCGCAGAGAGATCTCTTTGGAGCTCATACATATGAGAGAACAGATCGTCCTGGTGCGTACCACACAGAGTGGACTAAGCTTGCAAGGAAGAGCAATTAGAGCATCAATGGTGCAGTTCCTTGAGGTTATTCTCTCTCTCTCTCTCTCTCTCTCTCTCTCTCTCTCTCTCACGCTGCTCTGTGTTGTGGTTAATCTGAATTCAGTGTTTGCTTCCCCCGAAAGCTTTCCCATGTTGTGTAGGGCTTTGTTTCCATGATTTCTTCCTTGAAAAATAGAGTTTCATATGCTTTTTAGGCATAGAAATTGAAAAACAAAACAACACCCAAATTGTTTCAGCTTATTTTTGTTCAGTAATAATAAGAAATGGAATGCCCTGACTCTCTCTCTCTCTCTTGTTGCTGTCTGAGAATTTCCTTTTGAGTTTCTTCTGTTCTGGTTTTGGTTCATATTTATGCCTTTTTCCATCTGAATTGTTGTGTTTTGCAACCTGAACCGGGAATTAACCGAAGTAGATGTAATTTGTGAACGAAAAAAGAAAAAAGACCAGATCTTTCGAGTGATCTCCTGTTCCTGGTAAATTTGACAGCTCTCGACGAATTTCGTTAGATCTCTCTAAAAGGCGCCAGAATAGATTCCGAACAGACAGTAAACTGTAAACGTATTGGGCTATTTGAGAAAGGGCCCATTATTGTAAGGAGGCCCATCATAAACGCATAGTAAGCTCCTTATTTTGGGCCCTTAACAGAAATCGACGAGGGAGATTAACCATTAGTCTATAAATTTTGTTTACAATTCTCTCGGTCTAATAGTTCATCATCCGATGATGTTACGGTGAAAGACAACGGATTTTGACTATTTTCCAAGAAATAAAATTGTAATGAATTTTGTTGCTGCAATAATTACAAACAAACAAAAGATTCCTGAAAAATATGACCCATATGGTTATGGATTAGCCCAATACGTCTACAGAAAGGGCCCATTATTGTAAGGAGGCCCATCATAAGCGCATAGTAACAGTTGTAACTTGTAAGCCCTTGTTTTGGGCCCTTAACAGAAATCGACGAGTGAGATTAACCATTATTAGTCTGTAGATTTTGTTTACAATTCTCTCGGTCTAATAATAATAATACATCACTGATCATCCGATGATGTTACGGTGAAAGACATCGGATTTTGACTATTTTCCATGAAATCAAATTTTAATGAATTATTTGTTGGTGCAATAATTACAAACAAACAAAAGATTTCTGGAAAATATGACCCATGTGGTTATGGATTAGACAAATGAAATAACACAAAGGTATATTGATTGGACAGATAATGGCAATATATTATTTCGTTTATAATGATAGATTCGAAGAAAGTTAATAACAGGCTTTTCTACGAACTTACTTAACCCAAAAAATTGTATACAAGAGAATTCGATTCTATTTTCTCGAGAACATACGAGAGCAGAAAAAAAGAAACAAGAACTAAAACAAATAAATGACACGCTTAATCTTGAATATTATTGGCACCACTAAACTGAGTTTCATGCATGGTTTAAAAAACTCTCGAGGACAACAACATGCAAGTTCTGCATATTTAGAGTATGATAAAAAATTCTTAATATTTTTTTTATTATTAAAAAGTCGATTTTCTCTTTAAAAATAAAATTATTACAGAAAAACGCTTCTTCTGCTTCTGTGAAGAAAACCGACTCTACTTTTTCATCTCACCATGTTTTAGAGAGACGCTTCTTCCACTCTGTGAAGAGAGCTGACTCTACTTTTCATCTTGCCTTGTCATTTTTTTTTTCTCTTTAAAACCTTACTAAAATTCTCTAATATTAGTATATTTCCCTCAAAAGATTAGTCTAAATTTTTTCATAAATTTGGGATATATCCTAAATTATATAAAAAAATACCTTTGTGACTACAACTTTTCTTTTTCTTAATGGTAAATATTTATTTTTACAAATTGTGTTAACAATTTGATCTACCTAATAAAATTAGTTCTATGACAAAAAATAATAAAAAAATATGAAAACAAAAGCAATCAGTCCTTTTTTATTATGACAAGATGCGTACATCACATAACCCAAACAAATTTGACATCAAGACGAATTTACATTGTGATCACCTCGTAACAATTGCCATATATTTCCAATATTGGCATGGTTGCCTCTTCAAAAAAAATTTACATAAGTTTTGTATGTTATTTTACAAAAATGTTTTAGAATAAAATTACAGCCTGTTACCACTTACGAGAAATATAATTTGCAACTAAAAATAAAGTAATAGTAATAAAATTGAGATATTTTAAATGTTAGCAGAAGTTATTATAAATACATTTAATAATGTTTTTTTTTTCAAGTGCCATCATAAAATTATTAGATGCCTGCCCCACGCTGTATTGTCTCTCTTCCTGACCATAATAATAAACTCTTTCTTGAATCTGAGAATTTATTCCATAATCAATTCGTTAATTTGTGCCGAAATATCGTTTGGTAAATAATAATAATAATATGTTCATTGCCGACATTTGGTAAATAATACTATAATAAAAGATAACTTTTAGTTATGCTAAATGGAACTTATTCTAGTGATGTGATATAATCGGATATCCAATCATTTGTAAAAAACTCTTCCAATCCCAAAATGTCTAAGTCTCGTAACATTTTTTAGTCCATTCTGTTTTGAAATAAAATTTCCGGACATACATTTTTCCACTCTTGATTTAAATCGACTTTCCTATATGATTATTTTAGTATTTTTTACGATCAATTCTACTAGTATATAGTATATTTTATCGAGAGACATTAGATGATGATAACCATGTTACCTACCACTTCCAGAAATTACACTTTATGGGACACGATTCAATGCTTTTGTACTTGTTGAAGTTCAATGTACATAAGATGTCATTTAAACCTATATAGTATACATTCTTATTACTCCTTTCTATAAAGATAACAAAAACCAATAGTTGAAAAAGGTTAATATTTTATTTCCTTATGAGGATTATCCTATGTTTTTATTTTAAAATGCCATCTTATGTTAAGGTTTTTCATTTTGATATAGTTTAAGGATCGATTTAATTAAGTGCGATACATTTGCTTACCAACTAAAGATGTTGTGTTTAGTTTTAATCTTTGTATCCAAAAAAAATCCTATTTAAAAAATGACATGTCTGAAAGTTATACTTAAAACTTAACTAATACTTACTTCTTTAAAAATGATATATCTGAAAATAATTCTTAAACTTTAACTATACATAAACCTCAACTAAACTTTAATGCTTACAAAGCTGCATGTTCCAGACAAAC